ACAAGTTGGGGCCTTTTTCTCCGGGGAATTCACTAAGCACATCGACGCGTCAGCTGCGTATTGTGTGCATTGTGGTTCGCCTGATTCCCGTGTCCACCGCTTGCGTGATTGCCCGCGCGCCGCCTCTTGGCGGACGGTGTTTCTGTCTCTGATGCGGCAGTGGGAAGAGTTGCCGGAGTTCACGACCACTTTCGGGTTGTTCCCCGAGCCGGAAGGGTGGCGTGATTGGCAGGCCTGGTTGGACACCTTCTCCCTGCCTCATATCCAAAGGTGCGACTCTCCCGACTTTCAAGTTTTCTACACTGATGGCGCTTGCTTGTTCCCCCGGCATGCGGTCGTTCGGGTTGCTGCGGGGGCTGCCCTCAGGGCCCTCTCAGATGGGACGTTCCAGATCGTTTGGCATGGTATACTCCCCGGGTCTTGTCAGACTATCTTTAGGGCGGAGCTTCTGGCGGTGTCGTGCGCCCTGGGCTCCGCTCGAAAGGCCCTGGTCTTTACCGACGCATTGTCTGTTTGTCGCATTGCCACCAGGCTTTTGCTGCAGCTTAAGGAAGGTCTTTCACCGGTGCTGCCGGCCGATAACAAAGACTTGTGGGCTTACTTCCTCTCGGTTGTCCGTGGGATGGACCTCGAAGATGTGCAGGTGCGGTGGATCAAAGGGCATGTCAACTATCGCGCTGCTGTTGGAATGTCTAAGATCCACGCGTGGTTTAACCACTGGGCTGACCTTGCTGCCAAGCAGTCTTTGAGTGGCCACTTCACCCCTCTTTTCCAGCACGTTGTGAAGGATTTTCGTCACCAACTCGTTACGGCTAAGGACTTGTTCTCTTTCCAGGCTGGAGTGGCGCTACTTTTTGCAAATGACAGGAACGCCCCGGTTGTGCGGCAACCGGTCAGTGTCGGGTCTGTCAGCCTAGTGGGCCCCAGGTCTGTGTTGCAGTTCGAACAGGACATCCATCCCGTTGTTTGTCACCAGGGTTTTGCACGGTCTCTTCTTAATTGGGTGCGGGAGATCCGTTGTGCCCCGGTTGCAGATGCTGGTAGCTTGGGTCAACTTCAAGACACCTCGTGGCTTGAACTTTTCTGGGGTTATGTTCATGATACGTCGGCGCTCCCGGCCTTTTTGCACTATCATGAGTGGGTTTGGGTTCAGGATGACCCTACTTTGGAGTTCGCAATTCCATCTTTCGCGACGATGTTCCGTACTTGGAAGAGAACTTTCGATGCCATCCTCAAGGCAGGTGTCGCGGTACCTTGGTCCCGGCACTTGTCTCAGGTCAGGTCCGTTCGCACTCTTGGTGCGTGTTTTGACTGTCCTGGGTTCAATGGGCGTGTCCTCTTGCCATCGGCGGCTTTGCAGGACCTTTCCGCCCAATTTGCTTTTTCCCCGCGTCTCTCGTCAATGCGGGTGCCTGCATTTAATTAGTTTTCTGCAACGGTCCACACGCTCACGAAATGCTCGTCGGCGTGCGCACCGGTCTCACACGCTTGCGTGACCATGAGACGAATGTCCGAGAGTGTGTTCTTGTTGTTCTTGTTGTTCGTGTTGTTCCTGTTGTTCTGGTTGTTCGGGTTGTTCTTGTTCTTCCTGTTCAACTTTTCGTTCTTGTTGTTCTGGTTCTTCTTGTTCCTCTTGTTGTTCCTGTTGTTCTTGTTGTTCCCGTTCTGTTGTTGATGCTGTTCTTGTTCTGCTTCTTCTTCTTCTTTCTTCTTCTTCTTCTTCTTCTGTGCCTTCTTCTTGTCTTGCCGCCCAACCTTTTGTTGCAGCTCACTCCGGGGCGGGGCGTCGGAAACAAACAAACTCCTTCCGTCCGGTTTCGAAACCTTTGCTTCTCCTACCCGAAACTCTAGTTTTGAAGCTTTAGTTTCCCGATGATTCTGCAACCTCCCCCGCAAACCTTTCTTTTCTTCTTCGGGAACAAACCCTTTTCTCGGTCGAAACCTTTGTTTTGGCACCCTGAAACTAACGTTTAACATCGTTTAACCACCCTCCCAAAACGTTTGTTTTTTCTCCGGAAACAAACCTTTCTCCCCAGAGTTAGTTTGTTTCCCCCGCCCCCCCCTCCAAGCCAGCCAAAACCCGGGTTTCGAAACTAACCTTTTCCCCTCAAAAACTAACCTTTTAAACTTCAGTTGGCAACATGCTGATCGCGTCCTTACTCCCAAGCTGACACACGAAAAGCGACGATGGTGAGAATTGAGTTTTGTTTAGCTGAGGCGGAAGTTCAAGAAGTGGACAACCAAGGTGGCATCTAAGCTCTGCATGTGATGCATTTTAAGATGCAAGAAAATCACACGATTTCCTTTTTGCCTTCAGTTGAGATTGAGACTACTCAAAAGCCACAGTGTGCAGCTGTTTATTTGTTTGTTTCTCTTGTCGTTGCGTGTGCGTGTGTGCGCTGTCTAGTTTAGTACTGAAAGTTTGAGCAGTTTTGACATCAGACTGATCATCTGATTGATCTAGGATGAATAGACTCGATTCTCCGATGTTCCCCGGCTCTGCCGCTTGTAGGTGATGAAGCTTATGTGGACACGCAGATGCATGCCGAGCACTCTCGGCTGTCTTGGGCTTAGCTTGGACGACTCATGTTACGCCAAGTGTTCGTTCAATTCCAAAGATTATTTCATTTACAGAAATCTAAGTAGATAGCCCGGATAAAATTCAGGTCAAGTCTAAAGCAATCATGAGGAAACAGGAAAGAACCCAGAGTCCTACTGTATGAGCAACGGAGTTATGATTTCTTATTCTTTGGTTAGTATTGGATCGCACACAGCAGAAACAAGGCCTTGTTGCAAAACAAGACGGAATGAACCACTAGAAAACTTGTGCACACAGGAATCTAAAGCGCAGAGCCTCCAGAAAGAGACAGAAACAGGAAAATCATGACAAGGAAGGGCAGACGACATCTCCGAGATTCAAGGATGGTTATTATGGATGTGTTGAACTGTTGAACTGTTTGAACCATTACCCAATGTATTTCAATGTATTTCATATTTTTTCACACTATTGCACCAACACAGGCTAGCTGTGGCGAGGTCACAAGTGGAACGCATCGAGTGGCAGAACCAAAACTTGGCGGAAGAGTTGGAGGAGAAACATCAAAGCAATGATGAGACTGAATATGTGAAGAATTGTGAAAACATATGTGATATCATATGTGTATCTATGACATGCCTATGAATGTCTATGACATTTCTATAAGTCTATAAGGTATCAATAGAATGTCAATAGAATGTCAATACCATCTAATACCCTCAGGCCACCTGGTCCGTCGATCTTTCGGAGTGTGTTGCGTTTCTCTTCGCTTCGCGGACTCTCCGTCTTTGTCTTGTCTTCGTGTTGTCGTGTTCTGATCCTGGCTTCCTGCAACATGTTTGGTTTTCTTCTGTAGATCGATAAGATGTTATTGCGCAACGTACTCTTTACAAAAGCTCAGGGTTCCAAGCACACGGTACGGGAAAATGAGAAGGAATGTAAAGATATGCGAAGCAGCTGCTGGAGATAACTTGGAACCGGTTGGGGAAGCTTAAACGAATATGACGAATATGAGAAGACAAAATGCCTGGTGCGGCAGCGCATGTGCAGCTCGCGGCTATGATAGGGCCATGGCTAGAGGTGAAGTTGGTTTGAAGGAATCGTGCAAATATTGCGTCAATATGCGTCAATCATTAAATGTGTATTGTTCACTGTGTTTTACAGTGATCGCAAGTTTAGCTGCTGTGCCAAGCATGCAGGAGTTTTTAGATCATGCAAATTGCGTGGATATGTTCAGAAAACATCCGTTTTAAACAATTTTTAAACAAGATGCTTTGTTCTTTGAGTTCCCATTGGAATTCGTGTTTCAATCGATGGCACATGATGGCACCATATCTATTCATTGAGAATACGAAGGACGATGTTTAACATTTTGCCAAAGAAGTACCGTGGCCGTCCGTGGCCAAAATTTTGCAGACGGAAAGCGTTGCTTTTGTTCTTCATCCCCACAGAGGTGTTTTGCGGGCCACGGATTTCATTGCGATGACTTTCAGTCGATGGCACTTCAAGATCTCCGAGGCTAAGACGATTGAAATATTTGAAATAGAATCCAAACCAGCTGAAAAATAACTCAAGTCAGCTTTGCAATTGACTGTAGACAAAGCAGCATTTTCAACGTGACAAGGCTTTCATAAAGCAAACCACAGCGAACCTTAAACCCCCACCCCACACCCCTACACACCCCACCCATCTTTCCTCAGCGTAGCAATCACAGACAATGCCATGTCTTGAACGTATCAACACTTTCGCAACATTTTCAGGAAGGAAACCATACAAGAGTTAAAATCGTACTCATGGCTCATACTGACAGGGCAAAGGATTTGAGATCAGCTGCCTCTGTGACAAATTTGGGGTTAGAGATTTATCCAGTGAGATTGCCAGGGACAGCCTCTGTTGAGATCAGCATGCATTCCGCTGGAGGAACTTTTCCTTGAGCAGACATGCAGCGTTTTGATTCTCATTTGAAACCTGAATTCACGCGCATTTCACTTATATATGTGATATGTGACATGTGCCACAGAAGCTATTGCGCAATCGAGTTTTATTTTTTTGTTTAGTCGCTGTTGGAAGCGCCTCCTTGTTGACCTTGCTGCTGTTGCAATGCTGATGCTCTGGCGGTTTTTCAAGAACACGATTGCTAGCCTCCAGGCATGACATTGCTATTCTTATACATACTGTATTACATACTTATACCAAACAAGTGTTTTTGCCTGAACAACAAGATTGTGACGAAGCAGTTTGGGCAGATTCTCAGATTGCGCAAACAAAGAAAAATATGTTGTGATGGTTGCGACTTGTTTTCAATCCATTCGTAGCAAGATTTTACTTTAATTGGCGACGGGGTTTCAGCGAAGTGGGCATGACCAATCTTACTCCTACGCATTTTGTTTGCTAGGAAAATGTGGATTGGACTCCCAAAACGTGCCCGAAGTTTTTGGAAAGGTTTGATTTTCTTTGACAGGAGATGGAGAGAAACCTGTCCAATTCTCCTCCTCGACGACGGGTACGCTCTGAAGTCCTCAAAACAACTGAAGAGCGTTTGGAACTCTTGCGCCAAGAGCTCTCTGACCTGAGACATGCCGAAGAGACACACGAAACGCGGTGGCAACTCGAGGAGAACATGCAAACACGCAATTTATTTGGTGCAAGGCAAGTCAAAATACTTTTGATCAAATTTGCAAGTTCTTTTTGTTGCAAGTCATCATCGACCAAGAATTGGAGACATTGTGCATTTGCTCTCTTTCCATGTTGAGTTGTGATTTCTGGGCTGGTATTTTAATGGTTTGAACTGGGATTTGTGTGCTTTCAAAGTTGCCGGGAAACAAACACTTTGCGGAGGAGAGAAACTTGTCATCAGAATTGCAAGAAGCCAAACAGCAAGATTCTTGGGTGCAGATAGAACTGTGAGCACAGGCTCAAACATTTCCAGAATTTTGATTATGGTTTCTGTTTGTGGAGTCTTGATCTTTCACTCCCTCAGAGGATCATGTTATTGCATGGTGAACTCCTGGTGAGCTGTTATATTCATTCTATTTCCTTCTATTGAGCTTGCAGGGGCGAGAGCTGCCTAAACTGAGGACGAGGCAATGTTGAAGGCTCTTGCAGATAAACTTCAAAGTGTGAACGACAAGAACCGCAAACTCGAAGCAGATTTGCGGCTGGAAGAATCTTGTCAAACTAGGAGGTTGAAGCAATCTGGCTGAAACTTTTTAAACTGAGATTTTGCTTATGTGTGGCTAGATTCACGTTTGCACCTTTGCACAGTTGAGCACCAAGTGATTCCGGAGTGCAGAAAGGTTGGCATCAAATCTGGGCTCAGGAAGAGAAAACTCAAGAGAAGACATCATCGCTCGACGCAGAGGTCCATTGGAAGTGCAATACATTCGCACTTGCTCAACCATGATGAGTACAAGTACAGAATCCATGAACCATTTCTGACAGAATGTTGGTTTGACCAGCACCGATAAAACAACGGTGTCCAAGCAAATCACCAGTCCAAAAAGTTCCAGACGATCCAAGTCCAAGACACTTCAACATTCAACATCCATATAAATCACCGTGAGTACAGCCCTCAGATCTCATGGGATCCCACGGCCAGGTATCGCGTTTACGTGGCAGCCTGTGGTGGTTCACAACTTCGCCAGCGACACGAGCTGCGTCAGAGCTGTGGAGCGGCGCATCGAGTGCTTCGAGCCACAGGCCGTCGCCGCCACCGGCGGCATCGCCCAGGGCATCGGGCACGTCTCACATGTCCGGAGCGTCGGCGTCCGCGTCGAGTTCCAAACGCCAAAGTGTCCACAGCCTCCGCAGCACGAGCTCCAAAGATTCCGAGCCGAGAGCACGGCGGCGCGCCACGCGCAGCGCCTTGCAGGAATTCCATAGATTTCGAATGAGTTCTCTCGTTCTTTCATCTCAATAACAATTCTTGATACATTTTATATATCTTCATTTTTTGTAGTTTTGCAATGATTTCCATAGAAACTGTGGCGGTCAGCGACATCTAACGGCTTGAAAAAATACAAAATGCACTCTACACTGCTCTCTTCACTGGCGCCTCCTTTCCAATTTCCAACTACTTACAGTGACAATGTATATATATATACAGTGTAATATATATATATATTTATATTTATATTTAAGGGGCTGACGCCCAACAGCGGGCCAGCAGGCCAAAAGGTAGGGTGAGGTGGTGGCAGAGTCGTGGTTGCAGCTGCTGCTGCTGGCTGCTGCTGCTGCTGGTGGTGCTGTTGTCATTGTAACTGCCGCTGCTGCCGGTGCTGCTGCGTCCGGCTGCTTGCGTCGCTGTTGTTGTTGTTGTTGTTGTTGTTGCTGTTGCTGTTGCTGTTGCTGTTGCTGTTGCTGTTGCTGTTGCTGTTGCTGTTGGTGTTGGTGTTGTTGTTGTTGTTGTTGTTGGTTGTTGTTTGTTGTTGTTTGTTGTTGTTTGTTGTTGTTTGTTGTTGTTTGTTGTTGTTTGTTGTTGTTTGTTGTTGTTTGTTGTTGTTGTTGTTTGTTGTTTGTTGTTTGTTGTTTGTTGTTTGATGTTTGTTGTTTGTTGCTTGTTGCTTGTTGCTTGTTGCTGTTGCTGTTGCTATTGTTGTTGTTGGTGGTGGTGGTGTTGGTGTTGGTGTTGGTGTTTGTTGTGGTTGTTGATCTCGTTGTTGTTGATCTCGTTGTTGTTGATCTCGTTGTTGTTGATTTCGTTGTTGTTGATCTCGTTGTTGTTGCTCTCGTTGTTGTTGATCTCGTTGTTGTTGATCTCGTTGTTGTTGATCTCGTTGTTGTTGCTCTCGTTGTTGTTGGTCTCCTTGTTGTTGATCTCGTTGTTGTTGTTGATTTTGTTGTTGTTGATCTCGTTGTTGTTGCTCTCGTTGTTGTTGCTCTCGTTGTTGTTGCTCTCGTTGTTGTTGCTCTCGTTGTTGTTGATCTCGTTGTTGTTGATCTCGTTGCTGTTGATCTCATTGCTGTTGATCTCGTTGCTGTTGATCTCGTTGTTGTTCTCGTTGTTGATCTCGTTGTTGTTAATCTCGTTGTTGTTCTCGTTGTTGCTCTCGTTGTTGTTGCTCTCGTTGCTGTTGCTCTCGTTGTTGTTGCTCTCGTTGTTGTTGCTCTCGTTGTTGTTGCTCTCGTTGTTGTTGCTCTCGTTGTTGTTGATCTCGTTGCTGTTTTTTTCTCGTTGTTGTTGCTCTCGTTGTTGTTGCTCTCGTTGTTGTTGCTCTCGTTGTTGTTGATCTCGTTGCTGTTTTTATTGCCGCTGTTGCACAAACAGAAACCTGTAATCCCTGACGCGCTCCCCCTTGTACCAGCCGGGGTCGGCGGATATATATGCCAATGCGGTCAATATATGCCAACATGATCCAACGTTGTCCAATGAGTCCAATGCCTGAGGCTTCAAACCATTGCAAGACATGTCATCGCTCAACTCGCACCCACCTTCCGCTACTTCTGCTTCTGCTGTTGCAACTGCGTCCACCTTGGCCCGGAGAGCATCTTTGACGATGGGTGAGCTGATGGATGATGCACTTCTCAGTGTAGGTGACTTTCGCAGAAATTTCACAGACTGGGAACACTTCAGTTAGCGCGTTTCGTGCTATATACATAGTTATCATCATTTCATGTTGCACTTTTAAAAAATAAACGCCATATTTGGATATATTTGGATATATTTGGCCTGGTTAGAGTCTTGACATCTGTCTATTTGTCAGAAAAGCATTTTCGCAGCTTTCTGATATCCCCCTACACGCTCAGGGGAGTTGCTTGGAGATTCGAAATCGGAAGGCGCTGCATCAACTGCCCTAGAAACATCGAAGTCAAAGTCTACCGTGGCAGTGCCTTCATCGAACACAGATACTGCAGATGCCCAAGTCCCAGAGGCCCAAGAGTCGCTTTTGCTGTTTAGTTGATGTATGGTGATCTATAGAATCTATAGGTTTATGGAGTTGGGTTTCTGATTTTGGTGCCATGAGTAGTGTAAAGAAGAATTCAAATGGCGCTGACAAGTGAACTACACTGTTTTTTGATCTTCATATGTTTCCATGGGAATCCACTAAAGTGTTCTAGCAAAACGAACTGTTCGGCATTAAAAAAAATACGTTCCTTGTTACGGTGCAATATTTGCTCCAGAGTTGACATGGAGACTAGATGAAAATAAAAGGATAGTTGCAATTTCTGGGAAACAGAAGGCAAACGTCCGAAACACAAAATCAATCACATGCCAGGAAGCTGGGCGTATTTGGTCTAAGGATAGGTTCAAAATGGTTCAAAAAAACGGTTGTGTAAAATTTGTCGGAAGAGGTTCCAACTGCGTTTGTTCAAGTTTGAAACCATTTGGTGATCCTGCAGTGTTGATTTGCACTGGATTTTCTGGTGAATTCGTCAAACAATGAGTCGGAATCTTGACAACGGCCAAGTTGTGTCTGCAAGTTTCACTTCGGGTGTCATTCGCTCATGGCTTAAGGAAGTTCAACAACCAGTCACAAGTCTTGACACATTTGACACAAGTTCTTTCACAAATTTGGGCCATGTTTGGATGAAATTGAAATGTATTTAAAAATGTATTGAAATACACAATTGTTGGCCAAGAAGTCTTCAGTTGGGAGCAAAGGGCATCAAAGGGCCAAGTTTCGAGGATAAGAATTGCCAGATTTTTTGCAATGTTTGCAAGGTTTTTCAAAATTGCGCAAGGTTTTTGCCTAGGCAAAACAATTTGGCATGTTCTTCTTAGTTTTTTCCAACGTTGTCAAGTTTTTTCCCAAGGCTTTCATCATTTGCCACATTTTTGCAGAGATTTGCTTTTGTTTGGGATTATTTTATATCTGTGTGTCTCATTTCACGGATCTACAATCAGAGACCCAACAGTACTTACTTCTGTCTGCACCCTGCAAACCCGTTTAATATGTTTTTCCTTGGAGTCTGAAGCTGCTTTTGGGAGGCTAAGAATGCTAACCAAGAGAATTCTACAGTTCCGACGCTCACTGAGCTTTGGGAAGCAAGCAGTGGTCACCGTGCCAGCGCCACTGCAGCATTTGCGCATTTTGGAACTTTGCTGCAGCAGCAGGCCGAAACCCGAGCAACCAGCGGCAACTGTAAACAATAATGAACATACTGAGACACACTGCAAATCCAAAAAAAGACTGCTACTGTACTTGGATCATCTTGGATCTTTGATCTATTTAGTTTCTCCAGACACAGATTTCCCCACCGTATCTTGACGACCTGGGAGGTGAATTCTGCTGCAGAATATGCAGGGCGAGTGGGTAGATAAAAGCCTGGTGCTTCAATGCAGGATTGGCATCCCAGCCATACCAACACTACCCGGTTCGATCCTTTAGATGAATACCACATCAAGGTGAAACATATTGCATTGCCACCAAGCAAGACATCAAACAAGAATGAGACGAATGGCAACAGCCATGGACCAAATCGGTTTGACACAGAAGCGCGGAGCACAACTCCATCAACACCACTGCGTGGCCTAGTTGATCCAAGAACTGTGGGTGGCAACACGTTACCATTGGCTGCACGGCGAGAACCCACTTTGCGACCTGCTGGACTGCACTTGAACATATTTGGAAACAAATCCCGCTGCTGGCGAACTAAGCCAAAGGGCGCAAGATGCACAAGCTGCACATGCAGCACAAGCAAGATCCACAGTGATCTCCTAACTTCTTGTGGTCCCTCGGACCTGAGACTTCGCAGGTAGAAAGGATCACCGCGCTTGATTTCTTCCCTTTTCTGTTTATATTTGGTATTATTTGGTGATTGTGTAGATGCAGAATGACTTGCGCTTAAGCAACCCCCTAGATACTGATATTTACAGATCCTACAGTAACTGAGAGTTAGCGAGGTCGATATGTGAATTATACTGTGCCCGTTTTCGTTCCATTTTCCACTGCTACGCAGCTTCTCATTTAAACAGTCATCCGGAATCCGGGATGCTGACGGGGTCTATGGGGTCCTCGGACTGCTGAAAGGGATTGAAAGGGCAGCTGATGCATTGCTTTGGCACAGATGTCATGCAGACTTTCCAGGAGATTCTTCACCATTCTTGATTTTGAACTATTTTGGACCTTCGACAAGTAGACTTTGCACGAATTTGTATACTCTTGTTTGGTGTATTTGGTGTGCCGTTGGAATCGCTACTTTGCTCACAGACTCATGTGATGGGATTGTGGAGCGCAGCAAGTTTCCTCTAACATTCTAACTAACTATTAAAAAGTTGAGTTGGGTCCTGAACTTTGAACACTTCAAACAGCTGCGGTTTGGTTTCACGACCTCAAAAGTGGGTTCAATCAGTAGTCGATGTTGGTCGATGCAAAGGCTGCTGTTGGTTCCTTTCAGCCTTTTCAGCATGTATCGCACGCGGCCATGCAAAAGTTCGATCTGGATCTGTTGGATCCTTTCTTTTCTTTCCGCTCCTCGGACATGACCCCAGTGGTGAGACGACTTGCATGCATTGACTTGGCTGTGGAGAAATTTATGAATAGATATGATTAGATAATATTAGATATGAATAGGCCAATTGAAAAGAATTTCAACATAATTATAAAGAATTTACTGCATATTATTACTATATATCGGCACATATCGCCACTATATCCTTGTTGCATTGATCTTTGGGGGTGATGACATTCTTCGACATTCTGTGCCCTGATCATTGATTTGTTGTGGTCTGTCACTGTCTTCAGACGAATCAAGGCCTTGGTCATCACATCGTCGGACTGCTTTCAATCGTTTCAAGGCTACACACAAAGAAATCAAAGAAGAGTCATTCGGAGTAGGCTCTGTGGAGCTTCAACAGGCTTTCGACATGTTCGAAGCTTGCAGATCTTGCAGATGCACAGAATGCAGAGAATGCAGAGAACGCAGTGCCTTTCACGTGGAGAACTGATGGAAGAGACAAAGATGCTCAGGGAGACTTTGGGAAGTCTGACTCAGGACAGCTGAAGATTTGGGCCAGGAATGGCCAGGATTCAATGAATGTCAAAGAAGTTTCCATTGTTGAATTTAAATCTTGAGTTTCTCGATCTTGCACCGTGCAGATTTGCGTCAATAAATGTGTTTGTATTGTCTTTGTCTGATTTTAAATCTTGTCTGCATGTCTTGGCAGTCTTCAAAACCGGGATTGGAAGTCTTATGATTTGACGATGAAGGAGGTCCGCCTTTTGCGAGAGCTATTGGATCCTCCCAACACTGCACTGGCTGAAAAAGTGGAGACCGTCACTACCCCTGTGAGCCATCCAGAACAAGATGCTCCAGCGAGGAAAGAAACGACAGCTGTGAAGGGAGAGGTTGCTCGGACTAGACTCAGACTTGTCGCTTTTTGTTCGCAAGATTTCACTACAACATGGCAAACAGAAAGTACAGTGTAGCTCAAGTGCACACGCTCTATGCATATTATGCATCCCTATGCTCGATGAAGCTGATGAAAGAGAGACAGAACTGACCGCGTGGCCGAGTGGCACAGGAATCTAGACAGAGAGCTACAAAGAGCCCGCAGCGGATCGGGACGACAAACCTGAAAGTGGTGAGTGCTGGCGGCGATGCAGGTGACATTGCAGACTTCTTTGTTGAGGATACTTGGCACATCGTGGCACAGAAATGCAAAATAACAGCCACGGACTGATTGAGCCCCTCAACATGTGTGTAAGCGGACGTGTCTGGCAGTGCGTTTGGATGATCCCACATTCACAGCCAACGAAATTCGTAGAATAGATATGACATGATATGACAGCGCGCAGAAAGTTTGAACTTCACGTCTTTTGCATTCTTTTGCCACCCAAGGACCAGAAAGAGCCTTGACTTTCAGTTGACTTTCCTCGTGCATCCACCTTTTGTTGATGTTTGCACATGTTTGCACTGTTCGCACGCGTGACGACCAATTTTTAGCGGTGTATATACCTTGTCGAGTAAAGTAACGGCGTCCTGCCCAGAAGGTCACACTTGAGTAGCAGAGGAACTTGATGTTTTTGGCTGAGCGATCAAGGTGCCTATTGGTGGAATGTCAAATCGGCGTGGCCTCAATGTAGTGATCATTGATACATCTATGGGGCAGGTATTGTCAGCAAAGACATATGACTCTTGGGCTTATGCTTGGGTGCATAGGCTGACAGGGCATTCACCAGTTCAACTAACTGATCTAACTGTCTTTCCAGGTTTGCGGAATTGTTGGGGCGATTCTGATTTGGCGCTTCGTCAATGGCACAGCCAGCAGCGAACAGTCAGACACACAATATACCTGTGTGATTCCCATGCCAGCTTCTTTTTTTTTTGCAAGTCCAGACAACATATGGACAAACCCTCGAAACAAAGCTAGTGGCAGCTGCTGGTATTTGTGTTGCACGTCCAGGATATTTGGGGAAATCCAATGGAAGAAAATCGGCGACTGGCCAAAGATTTCAGGGCAATAGAGGAGGACACTGAAGGGGGTGGCATAAAGGGCACGAGCCTGTGGCAGGATGGATGGAACACACAAACAGGATATAATCCACGCAATTCTACACAATTCTACACATATTCACGGAATACTGCAATGATACAGTAACGACCTCTAATGATCTGCAAGTCCAACCATTGAGTTTTCTCAACACTGCGGTGAGTCTTGAAAGTAGCCCTGCTGCCAAAGACAATTGAAGGAAGGATTTGAGAGGTGACAAAGCCGATATTCGGGAATCGACAATTTATTTCTTGGCTGTCACAGGGTTAGCCCTCGTGGCAAGTCGTGCAAAGCTCATGAACCAGCAGTTTGTGAGCGGACATCCTGCGGGTTCGCAAGCGTATCCAGATCCCCTCTCAATGAGAATGTGAGCAGGACAGTATTGTTTTGGTGGCTTTGAAGGATTCTGGCATGGAGAATTTGGACGGGGAAGACACTTGGAGAGATTGGCATCACTGAAAAACCTTCTGCATGTCTTTAGATTCCAGACATTGTTGAGCAGCACCGACACGCTCCTAGCACGATTCGACTGCTGCACCACATCGCAAGATGAGATAATAGTAGAGCGACCAGTTTCATGCTGCAACTTTTGACAAGGGTTGACCCTTTCGCTCTGACTTGAAAAAAGAACATGAAGATCGGATGAAGATCGGATGGAGATCGGATGGAATTGTCACTTTTTCTCTACGTCATGGTGATTCTGCCAGGCCTTACACGCACTGCAGTCAATTGGGTCAACCTTGGAAGGCCGTTTGGCCTTCAGACAAGGACTGCAAGAGTGTGACTCCATGGTGGGTAAGTACTTCCTTCAAATGTGACATGTTCGATTTGCCAGGCAACTTGCTGAAATGTTCCTGTAACTGGAGGGAGTTTATAATGTAGTGAGTAGTGAGTCTTGGAACGTGGGCACATAACTTGTGTGATTCAGCATTTAAGCCTTGCAGGATACGCCCTCATAGGCCAGACAGTTGATGGATGATGTGAGGGCATGTTTCAACATGTTTGAAGAGACCTTGCTGAAGTTGGAACATCATACGATCGGGACTGCACGTTTTTCAAGTGCAAGAGCCATATATTGAAGAATACGTGATTATGTTTCAACAGCTTGGATCAGCTTGGGCCATTGTGAAGCGTGTTCTATCAGAATCATGCCAAATGTCAACACTTCATGTACGCATAACCATTGCTCTCAACACACAACTATATACAGTGCGAGTTGGTATGTGGATACTCAAATGATCATGTGTCTTTCAGTACATGTTCTTCCCCTCCCGCACATGTGATATCTCTTGCATATCAGATAGATATGATATACTGTATGGTTTAGGACCGTATAATATATACAAACAAGTATACGTTATCATGGGCCATGGGCTATCCATTTTTTCGTGATTGAACATGATTTATCATGAGTCATCTATATATTCAGCCGGAACGACTTGTTCTTGCAGGTTTCCCAATTTGCTTCATCCCTGCTGCATGATGCATAGTATTGTGGTCCCGAAGACAATCAGTACCTTCCCTGTAAGGCCTCAACATGGAACCAACATGGAACCATGCCATTGTCATCCATTGTCTACCTGTGGTTTCTACCTGTGGTTTCTACCTGTGGTTTCTACCTGTGGTTTCTACCTGTGGTTTTCTGAAAGCTCAGAAAGTCCTGAGAGCATGCCAAGATATGCCAAGATATGCCAAGATATGCCAAGCTGCAGGTGTCAAAGATGGTGAGGCTTTGGCCGAGCGAAAGGGTCCTATGGTTATGGCTGAGGCGACTTCAGCTGGTTGAATACACAGAATCATACAGAATCCCAAATAACTCATATGATTAAATATGATCAAATGTGTTTGTTGTTTTTTGTGTTTTTTTTAAAGTGTGATTTTGTGATATTTTGACCAAGTATGTTGTGTATATGTGTAATGCCTCGATATGTCTCGATATTGACAGTATCAAATCGTTCTTTGCGCGCCACAGAGCTTTGGGTGGTTGCAGTTACTGTACATGGTGACATGCGGCAACAGGCCAAGCTGAAATTTGCAGTTCGACCACCCCAAGCTCCTGTGCGAGCTTAGTCGCTTAGCCAGCCTGATCCTCAATGTCCAGTCAAGTCTAGTCACCTCGTTGGCCGACTAAACTCTCCAGCAGAAAGGATTCCTGTCTTGACGTGGCTTTGCAATCTTTTATGCTCTTATTTGATCTTTTTTGATCTTATTTGCATGCTTTTGCATTGGAAACCTGTGAGATTTGTGGTGCATCATGATCCCTGCACCGGCTTTGCAAGTCAGCTTGCTGGATCTTGCTGGATCTTTCGTGAGGCTCTCGCTGCTCTCAAGGCCAGGACTCTCGTCGATTTCCAAACTCTGCAGGCTCCGTAAGAGGCTCTGTTGAACCTCGCACAATTTGCACACTTAAACGATCTTAAACGCCATTTGCTCCGCACAGATTCCAACGAGATTCCAATGATAGGGTGAGCGCATGTGAGCTAGGGCTAGGACCGTTGTGTAGAGTAGTTTGTGTCAGTACATCGCATTCGCAGCTCAAGATTGCGCAAAGTTAGCCTGCACTGACGCATTCAGATGTAGTGTCACCATGGTTTCAGGAGGAGATTGACAAGATATTGTGGTCTGATGTGGTTTGCATATTTGCAAGTCCGAACGCCCTGATTCTGAAGTAATTCTTTGTGAACATAGATTCTAGATGATTCTGGTGCGTTTTCCGCCACGTGTCACTCCTTCCTGGGACTTTTGGGCATGGTGGTGCGACGAACCGCCAAGTGCTGGAGACAAGCGTCACAGGTGCCAGAACATGCTGACTTGATCTGCCTTATTTCAAGTCTATACATAACATATATAGAATCCAATAGAATCCAATAGAATCCAATAGAATCTAATAGAATCTAATAGAATCTAATAGAATCTAATAGAATCTAATAGAATCTAATAGATACTGTATATAGTTCATAAGTAGTTTACAAGACTATGAGATGTTATGAGTGTCACTCCTGTTTGCCAACTTCATCCGATGACGACTAGATGTTTTTTGGACACTTTTTACACAACTCGTACCATTGTTTAGGATTGTTTGAAACTGCGATTTCTAGCACCAAGCTGAGCCTCCCAAACAATTGGCGATGGCCATTGACTCCGTTGCTTTTCATTGGGAAAGTTTTGTGCATTTTGGGGCGAAAATGTCAGACCACACCAGGACCATCACAATCTTCGCAAACTTCACAAACTCTCCAAAGCGGAATCAGAACTTCACTGCTTCAGGATCGCTTCAGCATCGCTGCAGTATTTTTAGCCTGGGCGGCAGCAAGGAAGAAATTTTGTAGGGGAGTTTGATGTTGATGTGTTCTGATTCTATGTCTTTCTGTGCTGTCCACGTTTGAATCAGACGAAGTACTGGGGTCAGTGTAGCTCATGAAACTTCTCGCAGGGGTAAGGTTTTCGATCAGAGAGTCGGTCATGTTCAACTCCTACCCTAAGCAAATTCACACGTTCCACATCATTCCATCTATTCCCACTTGGTTTCAAGATTGACGAATTTCGCACTGTCCGCGGCATGCTACAGCTCACAATATCTCTGGAAGTCCCAGGAGCAAGCCGACCAAAAGGAACCACAAGCAACACAATGCTTCCAAAGAACATGCTTTTGTCATGAAGCACGAAGCATCATCACGCAGAATCAAGCATCCTATTTTCTTGGAGCAGCCGCGACGGGGCTAAGCCACGCCATTCAGAACAAGCCCTACACAATCCCCTTTGCTCAAATGAAGATGAATCAAATGGACCGGATTGAGATAGTAGTCGGCATTGGCTGCATTCAAGGTTGGCAACATGCCTTCCGTAATTACTTGGCTCAGAAGGTAACAATTTCTGTTTGAAGACGACATCAGGATCATGAATATCAAACTTGCGTAAACTTCCACTGCTTCTTTGTGAGACATTGTCGTTGTCCAATGGCTGGTAGTGGCATATTGGAAGATCCCACAGGTCGATCTAAAGAGGACCTGTTGCGCAAAAAAAATTCAAGGCAATCAGATCAAAAAAATTCAACAAGAGATGTGTCAACTTGTGTCAAGATGAAGTTGTGAGGAGGGAAGATGTTCAATTTCCTGTACTTGAGTTTGAGTTTTTTGAGGTTTAAATCTATGAAGTCTATGCTACTCGTATTAAAGAGCTTTGGACATTTTGATATCTCGCCAAGGATGATCTAGTGACAGTGCTCTCAACGAGTCTCCTACAATACTGCAACTGCCCTCCAGAATCGTATTGTCACGGTTTCAGTATCTACATTGCACTCGATTGTATAGTGATCGGCGCTTGGTTGCATTGCATTCAATTCCATTCTATATGTTCTATATATTTCTATATTGTATTGTCATACTTGCTCATTGCTCCCAGGAGAATGGGGGCTCTCCAGAGCAATGGTCATGGCTTCCATGAGAAGAAATCAACTGTTTTATGGCGCATTACATTTCAGAAATAGACAGACTTAAGAAGCCTTCTCCTCCCTACCTACTGTAGTTCACCCAGCAGCACCGCTCAGCCACAATTCTCATTGCAGAGGACATTGAACAGGCGCTGCAGACTTTGAAGAATAGCGCAGAGAGGGATTCCTGTTTCTGGGTTTGTAAAATCCAAAGGTATCCCAAGTCCTTCCTAAAAGAGAGAAATTTTGAATTTTTGAATCATCTTCCATCTACGTATATTAAAGATTATTAAAGGAGGAATGCGTATGTTTTCGTGTTTCTCAGGTGCATCGAGGTTCGGATCCATCATGGTGACGGAGAAACTGCACTGCAATCTTCACACTGTAGACTTAAGTGGTACTCGTAAGTGTTTTTCTGTTGGCATTACGGCATGACAGTATGAGTGGATATGTTTGAACTGGAAAGCACATCAAGTTGTTACGAGAATCTACAACCTGTTTTTACATTGGCGTCTGAAGGTCCTTGCACGGAGAGAACATGTGAGTGGGACTTGAGGTTTGTCTGCCTGCGAGTTGATCGAAGCTGTAACCTTCCGTTCGACGACATGTCAGCAGCGGCTTTTGGAGATTTCCGGCATCGAGATTCTTCTTGAGAACATGAAGATCCTTGATTTACATCATGATTATATAACATTATATCACTATAATGATACATGTCCATGATTTCTATCTATCATTATCTATCATTATCTATCTATCTATCTATCTATCTATTTATCTATCTATTTATCTATCTATTTATCTATCTATCTATCTATCTATCTATCTATATCTATTTATCTATCTATCTATCTCTCTATCTATCTATTTATCTATCTATCTATCTCTCTATCTATCTATTTATCTATCTATCTATCTATCTATCTATCTCTCTCTCTCTATCTCTCTATCTATCTATCTATCTATATATATCTATTTATCTATCTATTTATCTATTTATCTATCTATCTATCTCTCTATCTATCTATTTATCTATCTATCTATCTATCTATCTATCTATCTCTCTCTCTCTCTATCTATCTATCTATCTATCTATCTAGAAACTGTCTGAAATCTGAGACCCAGGCTTTGCTTATTGAAGTCTTTGAGAACGCTGATGCCAAAAATGCTTCAAACTTGTGCAAGTCATTGCTTTGACGAGCTCAGAAGAGCTTCACACTGCTTCAACTCAAAGTTTCAAAAAGGCTCCAAATGCTCCGGATTCACCGCTGTCTCTTCACTAAGGAAACATCTTCAAGATAGAGAACCTTGGCAACGTTAGGGTGAATCCTCTTGAATCCACAAGATAACCAGATAACATCAGATAACAAACAGATAACCTTGCCATGTTTTGCTGTTATTTGTTTTTCATTGTGTTTCCCTCTCTGTGATTGCGTCGCACAGAGCAGGAACAAAAGCTCAAACACCAATGCAATGGTTTATGATGGTTTATGCCGTTGGAACAAACAAGTCGTGCAAGAATTGAGTCCAGCTTGGTGTCGCACATACTCCGCACAGAACAGATCATGTTGTCTCTTGGCATCTATTTTTGGCACCTCACTCCTCTTGCCAATACATGATGTTGTACCCAACTGAAAGTCAACTGTAAATACATCCAAACACAGCAATTCCTTTCCGCAATGTCGACAAACATGCTCAGGTCATAGAAAATCCAAGTCGCCAGTAGTCGCCAGCGATGAATTAATTCACTGATTTTGGAGAATGAATCGCTGCAGGGGTTCTCAAGGAACTTCACTGAATTAGCTCAGATATCCATAGAATTCCATAGATATCCGATATCCACCCAGCTGGCGCAGAGAGTCTTGACGAATTCTCGGGGACACCCTGACAAATTGTCTGGTCTTGTCATGATATTTTGATCTTGCAACCCTAGATTCCTAGATTGAGATCTACGTGTTACCTGCTGGCGAGCGAGGTAGGTTTGATACCTTTACATACCATTCATAGGGAGGTGTTCAAAGTTCAAGTGTTTGCATCGTCTTCGGTTCGGTTGGACTGCTCGTGTCATCTCTTTCGAGGAGCTGCAGATCATGTTTTGCCGCATTCTTCAGCACTTGGCAGCCTCCGCACCGAAGGAGTTGTCGAAAGCTGGTGCGTGCAGCGTGTTGAAGGCCCATCATGGCCTATCAATAGTTTATGAATACTTTATCAACTCAGATCTCGGATACGTGTATATTGGAACACGCACCGCGAAAATGTGAAAAACGGCAAACATGTTTACCTGACATGAACGTCTGGTCTAGAACAATATTGTGAATGCTAGAGCTGCTAGAGGGTAGACCGGGTAGATGGTATATTCTTCCGACCTCGGCAGGTCAGTTCCCACGAAAACTCATGTGCCATCTTGGACAAAGGATCCCGACGCAGATTTCGTCTTTCTTTTGCCAGCATTCTTGAACGTATTTGAGTCATTTGAGCATGTTTCTTGTTCTCTTCTTGTTTTGATGTGTTTTCAGGACAAAGCCTCAGCTTCAGTGTTTTGTTGGTGAATCATGAAGATCTCCTGCTCCAACACTTGCTGGCTTAGACATTCTCAATTTCCCAGTTCGCTGCCTGGGCCAAACTTCTAAATCTGCAGATTCAAGCTATGCTTGCAGCTGTCATAGATTGTGCTCTCATTAGGCACCACAGTCGAATGCCCACGTGACCACGCAACCAGTAGCTTGTATGTATACATTACATATGTACATATACGATATATTTCAATATTATACAATCATATACACCATTCCACACGTAAATGCCGCATATGTTTTGGCCCGTTTTGAAGGCGGTTCTTGAAGCTCATCCGTCAGAAGCTTCGGTTCATCAAGCAAGTTGGCAAGCCTTAGAGCTCATTGCCTTGAGGGATGAAGAAACTTTGCTTAAGACGCGAAAGGCAGTGTTTTGACCATTTTTTTCTGGCACGGCTCAATTTCATCTGTCAAAGTCGTAATTACAGGACTGAATTTGGATGGGTGTTTTTGTCTCTCGAACCTGACTTGAAGCCCGTTGTGCAATCATTGTTGTTTATTCCGGAAGCCAACCTTTCTCTAAAACAAAAACAAAAAGACGCAAAAGTCTGAGCATGGAGTAAAAAATTGTCTCTTCCCTGCCGGTTCTTTCGACACGTCCAAACTTTTGAGATGTGGGCATGTTTACAAGTTTAAAAGGATCTATAAGGCATAATAGGCATGCCGAAGACGACGGGAAGAGTGCTTGCATCATCTTGCATCATCTTGCATCATCTTGCATACATAATATGCATATGTCCATCCGAATGTTTACCACTCTGGATGTTGTTTCTCTTTTGGAGCGGCCAAGCTGCCCAATTTTTTTGGGGGTCTACTTGGGTCACTCTTTTTGTTGCCTTGGAGTCTGAAATGCTTCACGGCAACTAAGGAGGCACGGCGTGTTGCCGTCCAAGACGGATGTCCAGAATTGGTAGCAGTTCGGATTGAACACGCATGGATATATATCGATAGAACATGTGGTGAATGGGTTTGTGCAAGGTAAGTATTATGGTTTGAAGAATTGATAGCGAAAAGATTGCCTCAGAGTCATCAATTGGGGCCTGTGGTGCCTCAAGTCTTGTGTGTTTCTTCTGGAGAGCCTGCACTATCCTGCAGTTGATGAGGTCGCATCACTGAAAAAGTTTCGCGGTCCAGGGGACGCAGCAGTGCAAGAAGCCTGTTTGGCTGCATTGCAAGCCTTGCTGGAATCTGCAACATCTGAGCTTTGCCAATCTGCAACTCATCTCAGAGACAAACACTATAAGCTATCACAAAACGCCGAAAGACTAACAAGAAATCTGATGCCTGCCGAAATGTTGTCTGCCCGTATCATTGCATGGCACAGCAGCACATTTGATGTGTTCCTCACGTTTGTGGAATTGTCCTTGAGATACAGTCACAATATATGAAACATATATTTTTAGACTTGTAGATCAAGAATCAAGTATATAGTTCTGCCCCCAATTTTCGCTCGCCGACATGATCAGCGAAGCAAAATACAGCGATTGGATCGTGAGACTTCATGGGAACTTCAAGTGCAGGTTGAGCGAGTAGGACCCCTCTGAGCAGCTTGACTCAACTTGACTCAACTTGAGCAAAAAAAACCAAGGTAGCAAAAACAGGCGGTATCGCTGCAATTATCGGTGCTTTGGCGGATCACAGGGACCATGCGCAGATGCAGTACTGGGGACAGATTGTGCTTGCGCATTTGTGTTTCTTGGACAAGGAAGAGGGTCCAACTGTCCAACTTCATGGATTTGGATCATCTTGATCTTCTAAAGATTCTAGAGTTGGAGCAGAGATGGGGAGGGAGAGCACGATTGGAAAAAGCCAGTGCAAACCAACATATCCCTTTCAAGCAAGCTTTAGCTCAATTTCCACCGAAAACTTTGGGTTTTCGCTGTTCACTGCAAAGGGTTGAATTTTGTTTGACGCCTCGCTTGACGCGTTCTACTTCTTTCCTTTGGAAATATTTTATGTATGTTTCTCTCTTTACGTCGCTATTCAAAGTCATCACAATTGCCTTCCAGATTCTTCCTGAGAGGATGAAGGATTGGTGTCATTGTCTTATTCCCCATGTACACCTTTTACATCTTTTTACCTTTTCATGAAGTCAGGTTGTGACAATCCAGAGCTGCGAACGGAAGCGCAGCGAAAATGTCATTGGCAAAAGATTGAGATGCTTGGAACATTTGGAACAGCAGACCCAAACAGACCCCATGTAAATGCAATTTGCTGCAACCTGGACCCATTTGGACCGACACCAGGATTCAATGACACGTTTATCTATTTTTTCATGGCACAGTTTCAAAGTGACAGTGGGATTGTATTCGGTTCTTTGGTCCCGGTCTCCACCACTTTCCCTGCTTATGATTTATGATTCCGAGCTTTGACCTAGTGTTTGCGTTGTCCCATTCAGATGCATTCAGTTGTTTGATCAGTGTATGCATTTTTGGGATTCTTTGGGTCAGACGCTGAATCATGTCATGGTTTGTTTGCGTGATTGTCCTGCGCAAGGCATGTTTCACCGCTTGTCTGAAGGCAGATTGGGCTGGAAACATGTAGGAGGTGCTTCCACTGAGGATTGATTTCGATCTCTAGAAAACCGAAAAACCTACTCACCCGAATGTGCCTTGTTTCGCGTTACATCATGTTGCATCACTATCATATGACATGATGCCATGAAGTAATCATCTGTGGAATCAAAATTGGCACGTGTTATCAATCACTGTTTGGCTCGTTTGACTCAGGCATTCTTCGCGATGTATTTTCTGGCTTGCGTGCAGAGAGCTCTGGCTGTGCAAATCGCACCAGGTTGTGGATAGTGTCTTCACATACCTGGCAGAGCCGCTTCAAGAGCACCTTCGACTTGGAGAGGCAAAGAATCCCAACGCTTTCCACTATCTTTCCACTATCTTTCCACAATCTTTCCTCCTGGCCAAAACGGCCTGTTGTCTCACTCAAGGAGCGACAATCAGGATTGAAAGTGGAAAAGACATGCTTTGTCTTGAGCCTACTTACGGGAGCTGCATCGCATTCGACTTTGGGCACCGAGTTCAAACCAAAGCACAAGAACATTGACAGCATCGCAGCGTCGCACACACTCTCTCTCTCTCTCTCTCTCTCTCTCGTGCTTGGAGCTTCGAAACTCGATGTAATGCACACTTGGCTTTCCCGCACACAGGTGTGAGCACGTGTGAGCCATATTTGTTTTCTTTTTTGCAAGGTTTCAGCCTTCAGCGGAAAGACCCAGTGAGAAACCGAGAAAAGCAAGAGATAGTAGAGGGTTGCACTCATGCTATGAGAGAAATCCGACGCATAAACAGAAACATGGCAACATCATCAAGCTAAACGACAAAAAAAAACTTCAGCTTGCTGCGCTCAATACCCATAGTCCAGCAATATCTCTATGCGACTCTGCAGAGCTTTGATCACATAACAAAATCTCTTCAACTGCAGAAAGTGCAGAAGGCATCAGAAGGCATGACTTAAAAACTGGGCATTGACTGCAGGTTTCCTGTTCCCTTGTCGCCATGACATCACTAGATGAGGAGGGCGACAATGCCATTGGACAGAAGGTGCATCCACTTAAAGCAACCCAAGAGGCTGAGTTTGAAATGTGAAATCGTTCGCTTTGTCGGTCTTTGCAGGCATAATGAATCATAATATGTATATATATAATGTGTTTAATATATTCTATTATATTATATACATATCTAGGTAGATGAATAGATAGATCGATAGACCGATAGACAGATAGGCAGACAGACAGACAGACTGGTAGATAAATAGATATTAAAGATTATATTATAATATATTATACATATATATATATATATAGTCTACTCCGCCCACATAGAATATGCGTTTTTCCAATTCTGCAGTTGAACTCGAACGCAACTCCACATAGAATATGCCTCCATTTCGTGCTCATTTGTTTTTCTCCCCATCTGAATTATCAACATATCACCCATACTGCAGCATAAATGGACATAAATGGACATTTTTTAATTTTTCACCACACTAATTTTCGTTTGAATTATCAAAATATCACCCATATTGCAGCATAAATGGACATAAATGGACATTTTTCAAATTGTCATCCCACTAAAATCCTTTGAATTATCAACATATCACCCATACTGCAGCATAAATAGACATATATGGACATGTTTCAAATTTTCACCCCACCAAAACCCTTTGAATTATCAAAATATCATCCGTACTGCAGCATACAAGAACATTTTTCAAGTTTTCACCCCAGTATTTTGTTTTGAATTATCAAAGTATCACCCATACTGCATTATGAATGGACATAAATGGTCGTGCTTCAATTTTTTCACCCCACTAAAATCCACCAAAACATCATCAAAATCCTTTTTGAAATTGTTCAAGCTCACCTAAAGGTACCCACCTTGACCGGTGTCGAGGAACTATGAAAAAAACTATTTTGCAATGGAAACTAATGGAATTAGGTGGTGTTCCTGAAAAAATTGATGAATATTTTCACTGGGGACCTATTTTCTATGTATGTAGTTCTGCAAGGAATTTGATCGTTTCCATGTAAATGGTCATATAATTATCATATACATAATTCCCTTTGGGTAGCAGCAATCCTGGATGCCTGAAGTCCGTAAACTGGAACGTTTCAACAAAAAAACAGGTCCCCCGAAATGATCAATTTCTTTTCATATTGTATTAAAAAAATGAGTTTTTCAAGCTCACCGAAAGGTACCCCCCACGACCGGTGTCGGAGAACTATGAAAAAACTATTTTGCAATGAAAACCAATGGACTTAGGTGGCATTCCTTCAAAAATTGATGAGTACTTTTAACTGGGGACCTATATTCTATGTATGTAGTTTTGCAAGGAATAGGGTCCCCTTCATGCATAATTATTGTATACGTAATTCCCTTTGGGTAGAAGCAATCCTGGATATCTGAAGTTCCTAAACTGGAACGTTTCAACAAAAAAACAGGTCCCCCGAAATGATCAATTTCTTTTCATATTGTATTTTAAAAAATAGTTTTTCAAGCTCACCGAAGGGTACCCCCCACGAACGGTGTCGGAGAACTATGAAAAAAAAACTAGTTTGCAATGAAAACCAATGGAATTAGGTGGCATTCCTTCAAAAATTGATGAATATTTTCACTGGGGACCTATATTCTATGTATGTAGTTCTGCAAGGAATAGGGTCCCCTTCATGTATTATAATTATTAAATGCGTAGTTCCCTTTGGGGAGTAGCAACCCTGGCTGTCTGAAGTCCGTAAACTAGAACGTTTCAACAAAAAAACAGGTCCCCCGAAATGATCAATTTCTTTTCATATTGTATTAAAAAATGATTTTTTCAAGCTCACCGAAGGGTACCCCCCACGACCGGTGTCGGAGAACTATGAAAAAACTATTTTGCAATGAAAACCAATGGACTTAGGTGGCATTCCTTCAAAAATTGATGAATACTTTTCACTGGGGACCTATATTCTATGTATGTAGTTTTGCAAGGAATAGGGTCCCCTTCATGCATAATTATTGTGTACGTAATTCCCTTTGGGTAGAAGCAATCCTGGATATCTGAAGTTCCTAAACTGGAACGTTTCAACAAAAAAAACAGGTCCCCCGAAATGATCAATTTCTTTTCATATTGTATTTTAAAAAATAGTTTTTCAAGCTCACCGAAGGGTACCCCCCACGAACGGTGTCGGAGAACTATGAAAAAAAAACTAGTTTGCAATGAAAACCAATGGAATTAGGTGGCATTCCTTCAAAAATTGATGACTACTTTTCACTGGGGACCTATATTCTATGTATGTAGTTTTGCAAGCAATAGGGTCCCCTTCATGTAGAATTATTATATACGTAATTCCCTTTGGGTAGCAGCAATCCTGGATATCTGAAGTTCCTAAACTGGAACGTTTCAACAAAAAAACAGGTCCCCCGAAATGATCAATTTCTTTTCATATTGTATTTAAAAAATGAGTTTTTCAAGCTCATCGAAGGGTACCCCCCACGACCGGTGTCGGAGAACTATGAAAAAAAAACTAGTTTGCAATGAAAACCAATGGACTTAGGTGGCATTCCTTAAAAAAATGATGAATATTTTCACTGGGGACCTATATTCTATGTATGTAGTCCTGCAAGGAATAGGGTCCCCTTCATGTATAATTATTATATACGTTGCAAGTGAAACATCCACTTGAGCCAAGGAATCGCAACTCTGGATCGCATTGGCAGTTCTGTTGGATCAAAAGGGAGTGAACCATTGTCACATAGAGGCTTGCCAGGCCAGCCCTTGTTTGTAGGCTTAGGTGTTCACTCCACTCCAGCTTCTTGGGATAGGTAGCTACGTTTTTCAGGGCAGAAACTGCCACCGCTTGGATGGTAGACGGAGCCTGCTGAAGTGAGGCAGGACGGTTCAGGGGCCAGGAAACTAGAGACGCTTGGGGCCTCTCTAGGATGACAAGCCAAGGCAGTGAAAATGAGATCGGAAGATCTCGGGACGGGGTTCCGAGATGGTCAGGGGAGGCTGGTAGCTTCCAAGAGTATGAAGAACAAGCACTACAGTGGGAGCAAGGAGTAGCATACCATAAACGGTCGTCTGGTGGCAGAACTATCGGGCACGGCCCGAAAGTTCGTGACTGGAAAACGGCCAGACTGGCTGTCCTATGAAGGTGGGGTGCAGTACCTCATGGAGTACCTCCGTGCAAGCCTGGGAAAGCCTAGGATCGCCGAGCTGACAGAGTACTTGAACAGGTACTTTCGCCAAAGCCGGCGTCGTCGCATGGAGTCGATGAATGACTACATAGTACGGAAGTCAGATCTGTACTCTCGGGCCAGACAGGCTCTCTCCAGGGTGCAGGGTCACTATGAAACCCAGCGAGGGCGGCAAACTCAGAGGAGTTGGAGCTCATGGGGATCGTCATGGGGGCAATGGTCCTATGGACGAAACGATTGGGGGCAATGGCAAGATCCTGAAGAGCCAGGAGAACGAGGCAGACCTGCAGCTTCCAATGATGATGGACAGAGACAGGAACGAGAAGAGAGCTATGAGTCACTTCCTGAAGACTCCTGGCAGCCGAGACACTCCAGCTGGGGAACAAACTCCAGTACCTCAGGCTGGAACAACACCCAGGAAGATGAAGAGTGGCTGCAAACCTCACCAGAACTACTACCAGACTTTCTCCAAGGATGGTACCTGCTGATGGACTCTGGCCTTGATAGCCAGGAACGCAACATGGTGCAAACAGCAGTGCGAGGCAATTTCAGCCTGCAGAAGATTGCACATGAACTTCGAGCCCAATGGCCTGAGGATGAACTCAAGCGCCGAGACCAGCAGCTGAAACAGAACAGTTTCTGGCAGGAAGACCTAGATGAACCTGATCATCACATGGAGCCCGAGGGTTACATGACCGCGATGGGGTTGATGCATGAAGGGATGAATGAGGAGGGCATTGCCCTCGTGGGAGAAGCGGAGGAACAAGCCCAAGAGGCACTCCAAGTGCTTCACCAAGCCCGCCGCACTTTGCGGGAGGCTAGGGCCAAGCAGCATCAGATCAAAATGAATCGACAATACTATCAATCAACCTCCATCACGAAGCCCAAGATGTTTGACAAGAACCAGACCAAGCCAGCGATCACATGCTTCAAGTGCGGTGGTCCTCACAAAATCGCACAGTGCCCAGATCGCGATGCTCCTGGCACCACCAAGGCAGCCAATGTCGCGGAAGAGGCAGCGCCATTCATCTGCTTCCACGAGGGCCAGATGACTGAGGAGTGCTTGGGCATCACAGACATGAATCAGAGAATGACCACGGATGAGGCGATCAAGAAAGGCTACGGAGTCATTGACGGGGGAGCCACCAAAACATTGGCTTCAGTCTATGCTCTGGAGGCTTTACAACACCAGAACATCGAGAAGTACCAGGATGACCGGGTGCTGAGGGTGGATCCCAACAACACTCCCAGTTTTGGTTTTGGGAACTCCAGCAAAAACAAGTGCTGTTCCACCGCCACCTTGAAGATCACAGCCGACCAGAAGCCTGGAGAACTTTCAGTGCATGCGCTGGACCAAGGCACCGGACCGATGCTGCTGTCCGTGGACACCCTCCGGCGTTTGGGAGCTGTGATTGACTTCGCTGAAGACTTGGTAGTTTTTAGGAATTTAGATGACCGACGTGTCATTCAAGCAGTTCGCTCACAGGCTGGTCATCAGCTTTTGCCGATTTCTGATGATTTGTACAGAGATGCCAAGGACTGCAAACAGCCAGTCCCAAGCCTGCGAGACTTTTGCAAGGACTCCTAGGGACAACTCCTTCCCTCACCAGAGCCTGCTGGTGAACGGAAGGTCCAGTCAAAAGAACAGGTTTTTGTCGGTGCCACAGGTGTTTCCAAAGACAACCATTTTGGTAGGAATCATCGTGTTGATAGCCACACTGAATATAGAATTGATGAAGCTGTTTGGGGTAAACCTGATGTTTTGGGTAATCATGGTCACAGCCACAGCAAGCACAGCAGCGCGTCAGCAGCTCAAAGTTTCCACTCGTCTACGGCATCACAGTTCCCGATCCATGCCGTCGATGAAGCGAGAAGAGCTGGTGCAGGCCATCAGAGCCATGGGGGAAGAACCACCTCGTCAATGGTCCAAGACGGAGTTGCAAGTCCGGTTGACGGAGTTGGAGGAGGAGCATGGGGTGACTCGAGTCAAGGGCCGACAGCACACCAACCTGCAGCTCTGGATGGTGCGTTTGAACGAGGCCAAGAAGTTGAAGTCCACCCTGGTGACCTTTGTGGAGAACGAGCTGGGCCTCTCTGTCCAGCCCAACCAGACCATCGCCCGGTTGACACAGGAGGCGGTGGAGAAGATCTACCACATCAGCAAGCCCTCAGCTTCCGACCGAATGGGTTTTGGACGCCATGCCAACAAGACGTACGAGGAGGTGATCCAAACGGAGCCAAGCTATGTGAAGTGGGCCCGCAACACAGTGGCCGAGGGCTCAACATGTGCGCGTCTTGGGAAGTTTGTCACCTGGCTCGAGATGTCCGAGAACCCATCGACCACAAAGATGGACACCTACACCAGTGTGCCACAGCCTCGAGCCAAGGCCAAGTCCCAGGTCTCTCCTCGCTCAGTGGTCACTCACAGCAGCAGCTCCACCGCCATGATGGCCCAGACCCAGGCCATGTTCGAGACCGTGATGAATGCCGTGGGCAGCCTCAAGGAGGAGATCGACCACCTCAAAGAGGAACGTCCACACAAGAAGAGCGACACACACACCGAGAAGAGCTTCAGCATGATCGAGGGCGACAACTAGACGCCGTCACCAATGATGAGAGAGCTGACGCCACCGGCTTAGTAGCTTCAGACCAGCAGGACACTCAGAGAGTTTCAGACAACATGCCCAGGTTTTTTGAAAAGGAATCCCAAGAAATTGCCCCCAAAGTTTTTCAAGATTTGATTGGGAAAAAGAAGACCTGGTTGTTGGAGGTCGCCTGCTCGCCGGAAAGTAGGTTATCTCAAGAGGTACAACGCCTTGCTGGGTATGAGGAAGCTGCTGTCAGGTGTTCTCATTGGAATAATTTTGACCTTGAGACGAGTGAAGGGGTTAAAGGGGTTCTCCGCATGATTGATGAGTTGGACCCTCAACATGTTTGGATTAGTCCTGTTTGTGGCCCTTACAGTCCTCTTCAGTCGATCAACCAAAGAACTCAAAGCCAGATTGATGAACTTGCGGCCAAAAGAAAAAGAGCTTTGAAGCAGTACATTGGGGCCAGTTGCATCTATCAATACTGCATCCAAAAGGGGATTCACACCAGTTGGGAATGGTCCGAGAAATGTCAGGGTTGGAGACTCCCCTTCATGCAACAGATGCAGAAGAAATCCAGTCCTTTCATCAGTGTTACCCATGGTTGCAGGGTTGGTTTACGGTGCCCCAAAACTCATACTCTTCTTCAAAAAGGTTGGAAAGTGATGTCAACCCACCAACGGATTTCTGACTTGTTGAACCGTAGGTGTATGTGCCACAAGGGTTATCGTCATGCCAAGTGTGAAGGGGGATTAGCGGGAATGACCTCATATTACACGGATGAATTTGCGAAGTTGGTGCGTCAAGGGATTTTCCAAGAAGTCACTCTGCCCATGTTACACCGGGAAATGGAAGGTCGGGACAACCTCCCCCCAAGTTTTGGTCATGGACACTTTTGCGTTTGTCAACATCTTCATCATCATGAATGCCATTTGACTTGTGGTTCATGTCTTCAACAACAGTTTGTGGGAATTCAAAGACCCGATGAGTGTATGAAAGAACATGCCATGGTTCAACAACATTTGGTTCATGAAAAATCGGTTGAGGATATCCAACGAAAATTGTATCTTTTGCATGCTGCTACTGGACATTGCAACACACGCCATTTGGTTGACGCTTTGAAACGGAGAGGGGCCAACAAACAGATTTTGGAACAAGCCAAGAATTTTCGGTGTGCCATTTGTGAGGAAAGTAGAAGGGTTAACCACAAACATGCTGCCTCCCTTGAACCTTTACCCCCCAAATTGGCTACTATTTGTGCGGATGGGGGTAAGTGGACTCACCCTGTTACCAATGAAGACTATGAATTTGTGCTCATCATTGATGAAGGGTCACGTTTCAGGGTTGCCAAGGTTTTAGCCAGGGGAAAACACCAAACAATGAACGCAGCACAGTTTTTGGATTACATGCAGGAGGGATGGATCCAATATTTTGGACCACCTCATACTTTGCGACTCGATCCCAGCGGCGTTTTCAGAAGCAATGGTGTAGAACAGTTTTGCGATCGGCATGGCATCTTTTTAGATGTCATACCTGGTGGAAGCAAAATAGGATCATGTGAGCAAGCAGTTCGTAGCACCAAAGAAGTGATGACAAAACTGGCACAGAATGAACCTGACCTCTCAGTCGAATCAGCACTGGCTGAAGCATTGCAACCACCGAGAGATAGTACGAGGTTTTTCGCCAGCACAGCACCTGCTAGGTTTAGCACCTGATGAGACAGGCCGTTTCATCTCCAGCCTTTCTGGAGACCAGGCTGAACGACTTCTGGCCAATCCAAGTCAAGAGTTTCAGGAGAACTGGGAAAGGATGCGTGTTGCAGAACAAGCTCTCATCGACTGGCAAACAAATGAGAGAATCACCAGGGCTATGAACTCCAAAGCCCAACCGAAACATGACTACAGGCCAGGAGATTTGGTATACTTTTGGCGAAAGCAGGTTTCTGGAAGACAGGGTAACAAGAATGGACAATTTTTGGGGCCAGCTCGGATCTTAGCAACTGAGACAAAACGACAAGGAGATGGAACACTGACTCCGGGCAGCTCAGTATGGTGTGTCCGTGGCAGGCGACTCATAAAATGTTGCCCTGAGCAACTCCGTCCTGCCTCTCAAAGAGAAGAAACTGGTGGAACATCTGGTCCACCCCAACAATGATGATACACCTTGGGTTTTTCCTCGCATCGTTTCGGAACTGGGAGGAAATGAATTTGCGGACATATCTGCAGAAGTGCCCGACTCTCAGGAATGGCACAATGCGCAAGATCCGAGACAGGCTTTACAGCCCACTCACCGTCATCGACACAAACGAGCTGTTTCTCAACCTGCTACAACAACTTCTCCCTTTGAAAGGGCAAGCTCCTCAACAGAGAACGCCAAGGCCCGCCGTACGCAGGGCCTCTTGGTTGAAGCACCGGAAACCTCTGTTGAGCAAGCTTGGTGGAATACGTTGGATGCAGCAGTTTTTCAACAATCGGAAGGTGGAATTTTCTGGTCAGAAGAGCGCGCATCAGTGGAGATAGCGATTGACATGCCATAGTCAAAACGTGGCATGCAAGCAGCCTTGGAGGATCTCACAGGATTCTTTGTCGGGGCCCTCAAGAGAAGAGCTGTCGAAGTGAATGAGCGAAAACTGTCAGCAGCTGATTACCAGGCCTTTCAGGAGGCAAAACACAGTGAGGTCAAGAACTTCATAGCAGCAAAGGCATTTGAAGCCTTACCTCCGGGTATGCGGCCAACCGCAGATCAAGTGATTGGGATGCGCTGGATCCTAACATGGAAGATGAAGGATGACGGAGAGTTGAAACCAAAGGCCAGGGCAATTTTGAAAGGGTTTCAAGACCCCCAGTATGAACATCGAGCCACCACAACACCGGTCATGACCAAACAGACCAGGCAGTTCTTATTACATGAGACAGCTCGTCGTCGTTGGAAGGTTCGTAAAGGAGATGTCACTGGAGCATTTCTGCAGGGCCGGGAGTATCCCGGAGAACTTTTCTGTTTACCTTGCCCTGAGATTTTGAGGGCCATGAATTTAGCTGAAAATGAAATTGTCAAGGTGAAGCGTGGATGCTACGGCTTAGTTGACGCACCATTGGAGTGGTATCGTAGCATATCATCTTATTTACAGGAGCTTGGCCTAGTAAAATCCTGGGCCGACCCCTGTTGCTGGTTTTGGAAGCCAAAGGGCTCCCTCCGAGGAATGGTAGCAGGAGATGTAGATGATTTTCTTTTTAGCGGTGATCCCAAGGACCAAGAGTGGCAAATTTTGTGCCACAAGATTCAAGATAGATACAAGTGGTCTGCTTGGGAAGAAAATTCTTTTGTGCAATGTGGTGTTTTGATTGAAGAACAAAAGGACGGAAGTTTTCATTTGTCTCAACCCCGGTATATAGACAAAGTTTCTGAGATCCAACTGACTCAGAAAAGGCGCAATGATTTTTCCTCTCCCACGAATGATTGGGAGAAATCGCAATTGCGATCTGTCCTGGGTGCCATAAGTTGGCATGCCCAACAGGTGGCTCCCCATTTTGCAGCAGAAGTGAGCTTGTTGCTGTCGGATGTTGTTGATAGCACTATTCAGACTGTTGTGAGAACCAATCAGTTGCTGCAATCTGCAAAAGCACGGAAAGATCATAAAATGATCATCCATGCATTTCCTGCCAGCACGCCCTTAGGCCTTTATGTCTGGGCAGATGCAGCAGGACAAAACCGTCGAGATGGCGGCAGCACACAAGGCATCTTCCTGGGGTTGGCACCACTGACTTTATCAGATGGATGTATAGAAAAGATTACTCCAATTGCATGGCAGTCATCGAAAATAGACAGGGTCGCTCGTAGTCCAGGAGCAGCAGAGGCGAAGGCCGTAGTAACAGGTGAGGATCTGTTGTTTCATGCTCGTTTTCAATATGGGGAACTTCTTTCTTCTGAACCTAACATTTTTGATGTTGATGGAGTCACAAATGAAATTTTTGGTTGTATTATTTCTGACAGTCGTAATGTGTATGACAAACTGAATAATGAAGAACTCAGCACTAAGGGGGCCGAACGTAGAACTGACATTGAACTTCTTTGTGCCAAGTCCTCTCAAAAGAACAACCAAACCAAAGTTCGCTGGGTACACTCTGAGGCACAGCTTGGAAACGCCTTAACTAAGGCCAACACTAAGGAACTCGAGATGTTTTACCGAATGGGGCACCAATGGCGAATTGTACATGACCCTTTCATGAAATCCGCCAAGAAACGACGAAGCGAAGGCATCAACACACTGCAGCAGCAAGGTGACTCCCCTAAAAATAGTGTGGCTGTTGAAAAGAAACTTGTTGGTTTTTCATCCTTTGGAAACACCGGGGCATGCAAGTGAAACATCCACTTGAGCCAAGGAATCGCAACTCTGGATCGCATTGGCAGTTCTGTTGGATCAAAAGGGAGTGAACCATTGTCACATAGAGGCTTGCCAGGCCAGCCCTTGTTTGTAGGCTTAGGTGTTCACTCCACTCCAGCTTCTTGGGATAGGTAGCTAATGGTAGCTACGTTTTTCAGGGCAGAAACTGCCACCGCTTGGATACGTAATTCCCTTTGGGGAGCAGCAATCCTGGATGTCTGAAGTCCGTAAACTGGAACGTTTCAACAAAAAAACAGGTCCCCCGAAATGATCAATTTCTTTTCATATTGTATTAAAAAATGAGTTTTTCAAGCTCACCGAAGGGTACCCCCCACGACCGGTGTCGGAGAACTATGAAAAAACTATTTTGCAATGAAAGCCAATGGAATTAGGTGGCATTCCTTCAAAAAATGATGAATATTTTCACTGGGGACCTATTTTCTATGTATGTAGTTTTGCAAGGAATAGGGTCCCCTTCATGTATAATTATTATATACGTAATTCCCTTTGGGGAGTAGCAACCCTGGATGTCTGAAGTCCGTAGACTAGAACGTTTCAACAAAAAAACAGCTCCCCCGAAATGATCAATTTCTTTTTATATTGTTTTAAAAAAATGAGTTTTTCAAGCTCACCGAAAGGTACCCCCCACGACCGGTGTCGGAGAACTATGAAAAAACTATTTTGCAATGAAAACCAATGGACTTAGGTGGCATTCCTTCAAAAAATGATGAATATTTTCACTGGGGACCTATTTTCTATGTATGTAGTTCTGCAAGGAATAGGGTCCCCTTCGTGTATAATTATTAAATACGTAATTCCCTTTGGGGAGTAGCGACCCTGGATGTCTGAAGTCCGTGAACTAGAATGTTTCAACAAACGAAAAAAAACAGGTCCCCCGAAATGATCAATTTCTTTTCATATTGTATTAAAAAAATGAGTTTTTCAGGCTCACCGAGGAGTACCCCCCACGACCGGCGTCGTAGAACTATGAAAAAAACTATTTTGCAATGAAAACCAATGGACTTAGGTGGCATTCCTTAAAAAAATGATGAATATTTTTCACTGGGGACCTATATTCTATGTATGTAGTTCTGCAAGGAATAGGGTCCCCTTCATGTATGATTATTATATACGTAATTCCCGTTGGGGAGCAGCAATCCTGGATATCTGAAGTTCCTAAACTGGAACGTTTCAACAAAAAAACAGCTCCCCCGAAATGATCAATTTCTTTTCATATTGTATTAAAAAAATGAGTTTTTCAAGCTCACCGAAGGGTACCCCCCACGAACGGTGTCGGAGAACTATGAAAAAAAACTAGTTTGCAATGAAAACTAATGGAATTAGTTGGTGTTCCTAAAAAAGATGGTTAACTATTTTCGCTGGAAACGTGCAGAATTGTTATAGGAAAGTGAAGAATTTATATGGAAAAATAATGAACTTGTCTGGAAACATGAAAGAATTTATATGGAAACAATATGGAAAAGTGAAGAATTTGTAAAGAAATGTGAAGGATTTATTAAGACACACACATATATATATATATGGAAAAATGATGAATTTGACTGAACAAGTGAAAGAAATTGTATGGCAAAAATATGGAAAAGTGAAGAATTTGTATGGAAACGTGAAGGATTTATAAAGAAAAGTGAAGCATGTCTATGGAAAAATGACGAATTCGTTTGGAAAAGTGAAAAAATATATGGCCCAACGATATTCTAAGTATAGGTTTTTTGACGTCAACTGTATTCTAAGTATCCTGTTTCAAGTTCAATTATGGGGATGCCCTGGGAAGCCAAAATTTCAATTCCATATTCTATGTGTGCGGAGTAGATTATATATATATATCATATATTGCATTAGAACTTATCTTATCTTATTGAATACTATACAGTATTACAGATTGTATTGTATATATCATAGAGTAATTTAGATTGTATTATTTATCATGGAGTGTAGGTCATAATGCATATAGATATTATTGCATTAGATATTTTGCCATAAATTACGCTACATATAATGTCTTAAATCAGTCAGTCATATATGTTGTTACATGCTTCATATATTGTATGTTCTGTGGTATATGATAAAAAGAGATGCTGTAACCAAACCCTGGAAAAAAGGCAGGGAGACTATGGAAGCCTCCAGCATTCATGATTGTCGCACAAAAACCTATGTTTTTCCCGGAAACCCGAGATTTCCACGGAATATCATGAGATCCATTCCCGAGTCCATCATAAGCAGGCTTTTCTCGACAAGATATTGCGCCAATGGAAAATGACAGATCAGAAAAAGGATACGGTTCTATGAAAATAATGCCTCACTCATAGATCTTCATAGTGGCTTCGATATCCTAGGCCAATTGGGCGCCCCTCCCAAAGAGAATTTTCGGCGATCAGATCATTTTAGACATGGCCCAATAAGAAGTCTTTATGTTTTGTGGCTTTACCGCTTCCTGATCAGATTTTCCCGAAAATGCCGGGTTTCAGCGATCGGCATCCAAATTGAACTTCCTATCTTTCGGGACGTAAAAGTCCCCCCAATAAGGGCGTGTGAAGTTGCACAAAGATGTCATCAATTTCATGTCATCAAATTTAGCATCAGGTCAAAGACATGTACTACGAGATGATCAACGGACGAGGTCAAGCGATGGATGCACCGCTTCATGGTCGAACACTTGTTTCTGCAATGTTTCAGCAACGCAGCCACAGACAAAACCGGGGCAAGGTTGGAGACGGTCAGATCGGATACATGTATATTAGTTATGATATAAGGTCCTGAGTTTCGGTTTGGAACTGCTTTTCCTTCCTTTTTCCCCACATCTTTGTGTGGGGTTCTTGTTTTTGATTCTGTATCCCGCCGCCTTCTCCTCCTCCTCCCGCCGCCTCCTCCTCCAACTTGTCCACACACAACTTGCTCACACACAACTTGCTCACACAGAATTGTCCTCACACAACTTGTCCTCACACAACTTGCTCACACACAACTTGTCCTCACACAACTTGCTCACACACAACTTGTCACATACAACTTGTCCATACACAACTTGTCCACACACAACTGTGGCACTTGGTGACATCGACTTTGCGTGGCAGGCGTGGCTCTTACGGCACTGGGCGGGCTCTGGTGGCGCACCGGGTTCTCAGCTGACGCCGTGGACGCCGCGGCTCTTTGCGTGGCAGGCGTGGCACTTGGCGACAGCCACCTTCACTTTGCGTGGCAGGCGTGGCACTTGGTGACATCGACCGTCACTTTGCGTGGCAGGCGTGGCTCTTACGGCACTGGGCCGGCTCTGGTGGCGCACCGGGTTCTCAGCTGATGCCGTGGACGCCGCGGCTTTTTGCGTGGCAGGCGTGGCACTTGGCCACAGCCACCTTCACTTGGCGTGGCAGGCGTGGCACTTGGCGACAGCCACCTTCACTTTGCGTGGCAGGCGTGGCTCTTACAGCACTGGGTGGGCTCTGGTGGCGCACCGGGTTCTCAGCTGACGTCGTGGACGCCGCGGCTCTTTGCGTGGCAGGCGTGGCACTTGGCGACAGCCACCTTCACTTTGCGTGGCAGGCGTGGCACTTGGTGACATCGACCGTCACTATGCGTGGCAGGCGTGGCTCTTACGGCACTGGGCCGGCTCTGGTGGCGCACCGGGTTCGCACTTTGTCACCCACCATCTTTCGCCACACCATCTTTCACACACCACTTCACACCATCTTTCAGACACAGTCTTTGACACACCCTCTTTCACACACCATCTTTGTCACACACTATCTTTCACGAACACACCACCTTTCACACACCGTCTTTCACGCCCAACTTTGTCACACACCATCTTTCACACAGCACTTTGTCACCCACCATCTTTGACACACCATCTTTCACACCACTTTGTCACACACACTTTCTTTCACACACCACTTTGTCACACACCATCTTTCACACACCACCTTTGACACACCATCTTTCACACACCACCTTTGACACACCATCTTTCACACACCGTCACAGACCCATCTTTTACACACCACTTTGTCAACTTTGTCACACACCATCCTTCACCACACCATCTTTCACGCACCGCTTTGTCACCCATCATCTTTCGCCACACCATCTTTCACGCACCACTTTGTCACATACCATCTTCACACACACACAACTTTGTCACACACCATCTTTCACACACAACTTTCACACACAACTTTGTCACACACACACACACCATCTTTCCCATACAACTTTGTCACACACACAACTTTGTTTTACTTGTCGATCCTCCACCACCTCCTTTGTCTTTCCTTTCTTCCCCGTCCCCGCTACAACACTTGGTGCTCATTATTGGAAGAAGTTGCCTTGTGGGGTTATCCGGTCCTTTAATTTTGAGACTTTTTGTAGTTCTGGCCTTTCGCTGCCGTGAAGAAATCATCCTTCATTCTTGGCTAGGAGGTAAACGTTCCTACGAGGAGGACGCGAACGAGGTGCTTGGCTCGCCTGTGATTTGAACGCCAGTTTAGCCGACCTGAGCAGAAAATGAGCAGATTCAGTCTATCTGATTCTATTTGCAAATCTGACACCAGCCGTTTGCAATGATTGTGTTCATTTCATTGAATGTACCAGATGTATTGGATGTTTTAGATTGACCGGTCGCATTTTAATTTGAGGCAGATGAGAAGAAGCATGTCAAGAAGTTGAACAAGCGAAGAGCTAAGGACTGGGAGAAGTCATCGAAGTTCAAAATCTACAATGGGTCAGAAGATTTGAACTCATTTACATAAAAATGCCGATGATACCCGTATTTGCTTGAAAGTTCTTGTTCAATCTTTTGCATCATCGCTTGCAAATCCCATTCATATTCTTTTGTTATTCTTCATGCTGGAGTCAAAGCTTACTTTTGATGGTCGAGGAATAGATCCACAGCGCCCGAAAGGAACAGTCAAAACGAGTTCCGAAGCTAGTTACCCTTTCGGATTTGATCTAGAGTCTAGAGAACATGGGAAGAAAGGAGAATCCCACGGGGACAGCTTATGACAGCTTTGCAAAGCTATAGCTGCACTGTCTTCACCTGATTATTTATTCAGGTGCATTGCAGGTGTGAGTAAGAGGGTTTGTTTGGGGTTGAACACAGGTTCGACATTGGTTCAAAGTTGCTGGAAAAATTTGTCTATTTACCTCCACTGTTGGTTGTCTTTGCATAGTTACCGTCATAATTCGTGTTGTTGGTGGTGCTTCTGAGTGATTCTCTTACTGCAAGTATACTCTTGGAGGTGGAGCTAGTTCCTTGGCAACCAGCCCCTTCTGGAATGCGTCTTTCTACAGGAATTGCGAAAACAGCAAAAGAAGCTGCAAGCTCTCTGCTCAGTCTTTCAGGGATGGATTTGCATGTGATGATGCTGGTAACTACGAAACACAATCGGACAACCAACACAGCAAAAGAAACAAAACAGCCTGTGTAGATTGTATAGACATTGTATAGACTGTGCATCCACTCTCCATACTTTCACCAACGTTTGGCACCGACGATTGAGTGGTGTCAGCGTGGCTTCAGAATTTAAAAGATCGGGAACAAAGATTCGCAACCAGCAAATGCGGTCATTACTTTGAGCAACTGGTACAGTTGATGGTTCGGCTCTTAAGATTCTTTAAGTACGAAATTCTTGACACCGGATTGATACAGCATTTGTGAGGTGGAAATGAATAGCTTTAGGGAAGTCGGATCAAAATGATCAAATAGACCGATTTGAAGCCGGGCCAAGTTGTCTTAATTGTTGCAGGCCACCTGAACTATCTCGCATATTTGTTCCCCTTTTAAGATTTTTTCTCCAGATAGAAAAAGCTATAATTTGGGGTTCCTACTTAAAGTATAGGAAGAGTTTGGCGTGCTCGCTTTGGAGCTTGGGTGCCGGTGCAGGGTGCCGCTGCAAGATGTCTATGGCAGCGTGCGTTTTGGTGCTGGTGCAGCTGCAGGGCACCGCTGCAAGATGTTTGTGGCAGCTTGCGCTTTGGAGCTTGGTGCTCGTGCCTCTGCAGCGTGCGGCTGCAAGATGTCTTTCTGCAGTGTTGGAGCTTGCATGCTGGTCTGGGTGCTGCTGCCGCTGCAGGAAGCAGCGTGGGCTTTGGAGCTTGGGTGCTGGTGCCGCTGCAGGGTGGGCTGCCGCAAGATGTCAACGGCCGCGTGTACTTTCGAGCCTACATGCTTGTGCCGCTGCAGGGTGCGGAGCTTGGTGCTGGTGCCGCTGCAGGTACCCTGGGGTTTCACGCAGAGACAACACTGGCTTTTTTCGACGCGACAAAATGATATGGACAAACATAAAAATGTCGAGCAAATCAAACACATCTTTTCTAGTAGTATCTCACAAGGCTGTGGCGGAAGTTTCAAAGATAGGAAACCATAGGCAAGGTGAGTTGTTGCGACGCCTGGCTGGCAGGGCCAACCCGCTCACAGAGCGACAGACAGGTGTTTGAGGCTCTGCGCTCTCTCTCTCTCTCTCTGTGTCTCTCTATCTCTCCCTCTGTGTATCCATGTGTCCATCGATCTATCCATCTCCATTTATCTATCTTTCTATTCTATCTATCTACCTATCTATCTACTTGCCTATCTATCTATCTGTCGCCTATCTAACTATCTATCGATCTACCTATCTTTCTATCCTATCCTACCCTACCCTACCCTATCCTAACCTATCCTATCCTATCCTATCCTATCCATCTATTCTATTCTATTGTATTCTATGTCTAATTCTATTCTATTCGATTCGATTCTATTCTATCTATCTATCTATCACTTTGTGTCTCTCTCTCTCTCTGTCTCTCTGTCTCTCTGTTTGTTTGTCTGTCTACCTATCGATCTATCAATTTGTCTATCTACCTCTCTATCTATCCATGGATCTATCTATCGATCTATCTATCTACCTATCTATCTATCAATCTATCTATCTATCTGTCTATCCGTCTATGTGTCTGTCTATCTATCTGTCGATCTATCCTGTGCATCCTGTCTATTTATTTGTCTGTCTATCTGTGAATCTCTCTATCTATCTGTCTGCCTGCCTGGCTGGCTGGCTGCCTGTCTGTCTGTCTGTCTATCAAATCATTGTTTCAAATCTATCTATCTATCTATCTATCTATCCATCTATCTATCTATCTATCGATCTATCTATCGATCTATCTATCGATCTATCTATCTATCTATCGATCTATCTATCTATAGTTGAAGACACTAGGGTACGAGATAGCCACCTTTTTTACAGGCAATTTTCTCTTTGATTTTGGGTTTGGCACCCCCACAAAAACCAAAGCAAATACAGTATATTCTGTGAAATGTTCAAGAAATGATGTCCTAAAATGATGATGCGAAAAAAAGAAACTTCGTTCTTGGATATGCAATATTTTTTTTTGAAATGGGCTTTTGGGGGCCCTTCTTCTATTTGAAATTGCCTTTATTTGATTTTGCTTGCCACCTGAAGTGGCCAGATCTTCACGCCCCGAATGCTGGTGGCTCACGGCTCACACCTATAGATACATATCCTCTCTCTGCCTCTCTCTCTTTCTCGTTTTTGCCTCTGCCTCTCTCTGCTTCTCTCTGCCTTGCCTTTGCCTGCTTGCCTGCCTTTGCCCTGCCTGCCTTTGCCTCTGCCTACCTCTGCCTGCCTTTGCCTGCCTCTGCCTGCCTGCCGGCCTGTTTGCGGCTAGGGCAGAACAGGGCAGGAAAACTCATGGGAATCTAGGGTGACAGGAGCCGAGGACGAAAAAACCATTCGAATATCTGCTATTTGAAAAAACACGCTTCCCCAACCTTCAAAAAGATGGATTTGTAATGATTTGTAGGCGAAATTCGGAGAACTCGTGAAAAACCTTAGGTGGCAGGAGCCGAGGACAAAAAATTTATCAAAATATGTTCTATTTGAAAGAATGCGTTTGCCCAACCTTCAAAAAGCGGGAAAAATCCTGAAATCTGGGGTGTCAGGAATCGAGGACGAAAAAATTATGTGAATATCTTCTATTAAAAAAAAGGTTGCCCAACCTTCGAAAAGCTGGTGTCAGGAGCCGAGGATGAAGAAAAACGGAATATCTTCTATTTCTATTTGAAAAAGTGCGCTTGCCCAACCTTCAGAAACGTTGATTTTGCAGCAAACCTGAGAAAAACCTATGAAAAATTGCGGGCGACAGGAGCCGAGGAAAAAACAACTAAATATCTCCTAAGATTCTAATTCTATTTAGAAAAAACCGCTTGCCCAACATTCAAAAGCTGAATTTTGCACACAAAATTCCAAAAAATAATGAAAACCTGGGGTGTCAGGAGCTAAGGACGAAAAAACATTTGACGTGTTCAGGCACTGTCTGCTTGCCGCTGCCTTTGCCTCTGTTTGTCTCTGTTTGCCTCTGCCTGCTCTGCCTCTGCCTGCCTTTGCCTGCCTCTGCCTGCCTCTGCCTGCCTCTGCCTGCCTCCCTGGGCTGCGCCCTCTGCCTTTGTCTGCAAACTCCAGCTTTTTGAAGGTTGGGCAAGCGCACTTTTTCAAGTACCATACGTTTTTCCGATTTTTGCTGCAAAACTCAACTTTTTCGAGGTTAGGCAAGCGGATTTTTTCAAATAGAAGCTATTCAATTTTTGGTGTCCTCGACTCCAGCCACACTAGATTTCCATCAGGTTTCACAATTTTGCCTGCAAAATCTAGTTTTTGAAGGTTGGGGGGCAAGCGCACTTTCTCAAATGGAAGATATTCAAATGGTTTTTTCATCCTGGGCTCGTGACACCCTAGATTTCCATGATATTTTTCAAGTTTGTCTGCAAAATCGAATTCTTTGAAGGTTGGGCAAACATTGGCAAACCATTTTTTCAAATAGAACATATGTAGTTTTTTCTTCCTCGACCTCTGCGGCCCCAGGTTTTGTTTGTTTTCCAATATCTGCAAATTCCGGGGCTTTGACTGTTGGGCATAAACATTTTTTCAAACATAACATGTTCTGTTCTTTTCTTCCTTGGCTCCTGACGGCCTAAAGTTTCACATGTTTTTAAATTTTAGCTCCAAAATCCAGCGTTTTAGAATATATTAGAACGTTTTTTTCTCTCAACCCCTGGCACCCTAGACTTCCATAGGTTTTCTTTAATTTTAGCTTCCACATCCAGCGTTTTGAAGGTCGGGTATTGAAATCGTTTTTTTTCTCGGCCCCTGACGCCCTCGATTGTCAGATTGTCGTAGAGTTTCCACTCTTGCATTTTTTAAGAGGTTGTGCAGAAACATTTTTTCCCAAATAGAAGATGTTCATGATTTTTGTCCATCAAGACAACAGCACGAAAATTAATACTTTGGAATCTCTTCTATTTGAAATGTGTGTTGTTGATGGAATATCTTCTATTTGAAACTTTTGCCAGATCAGCTCTTGTGAAATTTTGGCGCCTCAAAAAAGCTATTTTTTTCGATGTTTTTTGCCGTTTTTCTGCAAATCACCCCAAAACCTAAAGATGCAACAACGTTCTCCCGAAGACCTCAAGGTCCTCTTATATACTTGGGATTGTCCAGTTTGACTGTAACACCCTCGCAAATACGACGCAATTTTGCAATTCCAGTCCAAATTCCACTTGACAGATTTCACTGGCAAATTTACAGTCCAAGAGCCGCCTCTTGCGATTGCGGCATCGTCTATTTGAAATGGATCTGGGCGACCCCCAAATTTGCATCTTCTATTTGACAAAATCGGTGAAAATGTTTTATCTTAGTTGTCGGACATATATCCACATCTATCTTTCTATCTATCTATCTATCTTTCTGTCTATCTATCAATCTATCTATCTGTCTATCTATCCATCCCGTCCATCCTGTCCATCCTGTCTATCCTATCTATCCTGTCTTTTTGTATCTATCGGTCTTTCTATCGATCTATCGTCTATCGATCTATCGATCTATCTATCTATCTATCTATCTAATCCAATCTTATCTAACCTTATCTAATCTTTTCTAATCTTATCTAATCTCTTCTAATCTCTTCTAATCTTGTCTAATCTTTTCTAATCTTATCATATCTTATCTAATTTTATCTGATCTTATCTGATCTTATCTAATCTTATTTAATCCTATCTACTCATCTCATCTTATCGAATCTTATCTAATTTCATCTAATCTTTTCTAATCTTATCTAATCTTATCTAATCTATCTATCTATCTATATCTATCTCTCTCTCTCTCTCTCTCCCTATCTTTCTCTATCTCTCTCTCTATCTCTCTATCTATCTATCTACCTATCTATCTTTCTATCTATCTATTTCTCTATCTTTCTCTATCTCTCTTTCTCTCTCTCTCTCTATCTATCTCTCTCTCTCTATGTATCTATCTAATCTAATCCAATCCAATCGAATCTAATCTAATCTAATCTAATCCAATCCAATCTAATCTATCTATCTATCCATCTATCTATCTATCTTTCTTTCCTGTCCATCTTGTCTATCCTGTCTATCTGTCTATTTGTCTGTCTGTCTATCTATCTATCTTTTTGTCCATCTATGTATCTATTGATTTATCTATCTATCTCTCCTGTCTATCCTGTCTATCTCTCTACTTGTCTATCTGTCGATCATCTATCTATCTAGCTATCCCCTTCGTGCCACAGTGGCATGCACTTTTTCAACCTCGGAACCTCCAAAAACGGTCCGAACACGTGGTGCTTTTAGATGCTTTTTGATGCTTTTAGCATTTTGACTTTCACAGGTGCTTCACGCCACAGTGGCATGATTTTTGTTTGACATCTCAAGTCCCAAAAGTGGTCTGAACATGTGTTTTTTCCATTTTGACTTCGAAATGTGCTTCGCGCCACAGCGGCGTGCACTCTTTCGACATCGGAACCTCCAAAAGCGGTCCGAACATTTTTTGGCATTTTGATTTCGAAATGTCAGGATAAAGCACTTACGGAGATTTGTTGGCTAGAGGAGAGCAGAGATGGTATGTTGTGCGGGACGTCCTCTTTCCAAACGGGGCGCAGGCGACTAAGAACGTTCTTGCTGGAAGCTACAAACACAGAACGAAAAATCGATCCAAAAAGGAAGCTTGCGACATGCACTTTGGAGAACAGGCACTACGTAACCTTTAGTGCCATTTCGCTACATATGCAACCCACGCTGGCTTTGCTCCCTCCTTCTCAGCCTCCAGGTGCGCATTCAATTCGTTGAATTAGTGTTTTGGATGAATTGCCCGGGAAACTTCTCCCCTTTTGTAGTATATGCGCTAACTCTGAACAGTTCTGAAGAGCATATAGGCATTGATTGGCTGTCAGGAACACTTGTCAGATGGTAGCTAAAAATCTTGTACTTGGAAATTCCTTAGCATGCGCCATGAGTTTTCTGAGGCAGATGCCAATATGTACGTAGGCTGAACTGGAGCAATGTATTCAGAGAAAACCCACGCTGCTTTGCTGCAGCACTTGCTACCAGACATATGGCAGCTTAGCTGAGGATGAAATGGCAAAAGCAAGGCTCCCAGCCACGGGACGCGAGACGACAGAAGAGACGGACAGCAGGTGAAAGACGGCCTTGGTGACGGGCCATCATGGCATGTCTTGGTTTCTAAAAGGATTTTGACCACAGGCGGCCACTTGAGCCACTTGCAAGGGCCGCTTCTTGCACTCTGAGGCGGATTCAGACGATGAGATTCCATTCTTCATGCAGGACCCCATGCATAGTATTGTGCTTGTATGTGCTGGTAGTAAACTGTTGCGTTGGTGGACTTGAACAATCTTGTACTAGATTGAATTATCACGAAAGGTAGCTCCAGTGGGGCTACCTTGAGTTTTGCTTTACGAAGTAAAGGGGAGGGCGGCCAGCCCCATTACCTGATTATTCAGGAGGTTGCCAGTCATTTCAGTACTCCCCCCACCCTCCGCGCCCCCCACGCACCCTAAGAGCAGACCCAAAACATTGTAATTTACAGTCTTCTTGTCCTTTTCGGATATAGAAACTACATCTTGCTTGCAACATGGTGAAACCTGCGTAAATACCAGTGTTTAAAAACACCGTAAATACTGTGGTTTTCAGCTTCCGACCCGCCAAAAACATTGGTATTTACGGTGTTTTTTTGCTCCGAGAGTTGCAAAAACACACGAAAACGCCGCCTATTTGACGATTTTCGGTCACTACGGGACTGAGAAAAAAGCTGCAGGGGCAGCAGCAACAACAACAACAACAACCACAACAACCACGACAACAACAACAACAGCAACAGCAACAGCAACAACTGCAACAACTGCAACAACTGCAACAATAACCGCAACAGCAACAGCGATAGCGGCAGCAACAGCAACAGCAGCAACCACAACAAGAACAACCACAACCACAACCACAACAACGACAACAACAACAGCAACAACAACAACAACAACACGTTCCCTGCCGGACCCGAACTGCAACCTTTGGATCGCAGTGATCCCCGCCGGACCTCAACCACGCGCACCGGATCAGAGTGTTGCCTGCCGGACCTCAACTACAAAGGATCTCCGAAGATTTGCCCGATAGAATGCCACAAAGAATTTAAGAACAATTCAGAACACATATGGGATAAAATGCTCAAGTGCCAGATGGAATGTCAGAAAATATGTCAAAAAAGTGTCGTTTGGCGGCACTTACTCGAAGAAAGTAATTTGTTCCGAAGGCTTGCAAAAATTGATTTAAGACAGCCAAAATGACGCCTTGCAGGGCCCTGCGCGCATCATCGCCATCAGCAGCAACGCAAACGACATCAAGCATTTGAACTTGGATTTTGTTTGGTGACGCATTTTGCACCAATACATATCTACAACCAGATGACGTTACGCACAGAAGCCTTTACACAGAGCAGTTTTTACCCGCAGGTATTCCTACACAGAGAGGTTTGTGCACAGAGAAACTTTTGTACACAGACACCTTTACACACAGAGGTTTTACACAAAGAAGGAAGTTTTTACATACCGATGCTTTGTACAAAGATATTTTTGCGCACATAAAAAAAAGGCGCGTAGGCACTTTTACACACAGAACCTTTTGCCACAGAGAAGCCTTTGCACAGAACGATTTTTACACAGATTTTTTGGCACCGAAAAAAATCGACACAGAGGAAATTGTACATACAGACTGCGCAAAAAAAAAAATACACACCGATTTTTTTGCACGCAGAAACTTTACCCAAAACAGTTTTTTTACACAGCAGAAACTCTTCCGCACAGAATCCTTTACGGACAATTTTTTTAAAATGCACAACAATTATTGCAGACACATGGTTTTTACCAGTTTTTACTAAGAGAGGTTTTGTTTCCTCCTCTTGATCACCTACCTTTCGTGTTCCCCCTCTCAAGTTTTGAATACCAAGTGAATGCTTTAGGCATCAGTTTGTATCCACTGATGCGTATTGGTCTTGATTGCATATTATGTATATGAATATACAAACGTACATATCTGCATCTATATGTGTGTCTGCGCATTTGTGATAGACGGGACTAGCTTACGTATATCATAGGTTAAGATTAGACCTGATGATCAGGATTGGTAGGTAGACAGACATACATAGATAGATAAATAGATGAATAGATAAATAGATAAATGCCACTGATCACACTTTTATATAGAATTATATATGTACATGTTGTGCGGTTTCGCGTGGGCGTGCTTCCAAAACGCAATAGGACGCCTCAATCAAGGCAGCCATGCGTGAGCGAGCGATGGAGGCCACACTGCTCAATCAATGCGTCAATGTTTTAGTGCGGTTTGGTCAGCATCGACTTGAAAAGAAATTGAGGTTGGTTGACTTGACGTCAAGATATGGTAAGATCGCAGTTGACGGTTCTCGGGAACATTGATCAGCATGGAAATTTGCAGGGGGATGGCGAGGAGATGGATTTGTGGGCATCCAATTCCAGAGACGGCAGGAGGCGAGAAAGAATGCAAGCTCTTCGTCGTCGAGCGGCAGCTCTGGCAAAAAGAAGCTGGAGCCTCGAGCTGGCCCTATCTATCTGATTCCATTTTTCACACCATTTGCAGCCAGTTGAAGCCCTTCCCACGCCTTCTGTTACTATGAGGAAGAAGAAGGACAAGAAGAAAAAAAAGGCCGAGCAGCAACCTGCAGAGCCGAAGGGCTGCATGTTCCACAGTCTTGAATTGATGACTACATGGTTCCGTGAACCCTCTCAAGGATGCTGCTAGCTTTTTCAGCGTGCTTTTATTAAGATTTATCTGCCACAGTCTTGGTGCACAAAAAATCCGATTTGATCCCAAGTAGATCAGCAGTCTCGTGGAACGGGGGGCAAAAACACGACTCACTTTCACTGCTGTTCTCCGCAAAGCATTCGCACAAGACAACCAATCAACACGGCAAACTTGCTCTGCACTCAGCCCATGTATGTCTATTTTCATTACTTCTTCATTCAGTTTCTCACTGCTAAAGATGCATGTTGTTCCATGTGCGGTGGCAGCCATGCGAGATTCAATCCCGCTCAACGCTTCAAGAGGACAAAAAGAAGAAAGACAAAAAGAAAAAGAAAAAGGCCCAGCTTCCAATGCCTCAGGGAGAACGGTGAGAATCTCTGGTTGCTGACTTGGGAGACTTTTGGGAGAAGAGGCTATGCCGGCTATGCTTTCATGATCACTATATACACCTCAAGATTCTATTGGTAATGATGTTCGATATGGTTCGATTAGGCCAGGCATCCCTCCCACATTACCCAGACGGTTTGGAAGGAGTCTTCTGACGCCCCATGGTCCTACGGCGGTCTTGGACTCTCGCTCTGCATTGTGCAGCCCAGTCTGCAGCTACAACATCGTTTTGACCCTCCTGTCGACAGGCAAAAAAGTCATCGTCCTCGTCCAGCTGATTGAGGTGCGAAACGCTAGATAATAAATGATAATAAGACTTCCATGATTTGTAGCTATATAACACAATCAAACACCGCGTATGACTTCTATCAAAGTATGAGTATGGATGTATTTCTGATGTTGGGGGTAACTTTACATAAAAACCCGCAACAGAATGCTCTCAATATTCTCATTTCGCAAAGCTGGTCCATTGGCTATGATTTTTGGCTCGCATTAATGTACCTCTTGAGGGAAAGAAGCTGAGACTATGTCGGCCTCTGCCAGCCGTTCTCAGCGCCTACTTTGTACATTGGTTGGGCATACCTGTTTGGATTTGAAGATTTCGATCTTTAGGGTATATGCCGATGGCTCTTGCCCATCCCCTGACCAACCCTCCTTCAAGGTCTTGGTGGCTCGACTGCCAGCGCAGATCCGAGGAAAAGTTTCTCACATGTGTGGCAAGAAATTTTCGGTCCTGAACTCTGCATTACTTCTTCATCAAAGGACGTTTGGTTAAGAAGCCTCCAAGTTACGGACAAATGGCCATGCTCAGTTGTCATACCATCCTGTCACCCACAGCATCTCCTGTCAACCACATCATCAAGTAGTTGGGAAGTGAGACAGTAGATCTCACTAACAGTCTGGGAGCCTGTGAACTTGCACGCAGAACCAGGGAAGCGCGCGCGTCAGTGTTCTTACAGGAACGGTGGCTCCGGGGACCCACCGAGGGAGGGTCTGTGTCCGCGGTTTCGGGGCTCTATCTGGATAGGCTGTCGACAAAAAGCGCATGAGACTGTAGTAGGAGCTCGCTTTGCCAAAAACGATCAAAAGAATGAGGAGATCGCGGAAAAGTCCACACTGCGCAGGCTGCGCGCACGTCGGTCGGCGATTGCATGTGGCACTCCGGGGCAAAACGCCTTGGCATGGCTGCGGGCAGCAAAGTCCTGGTTACGCGGTGACGATCCTGCTTTCCGGGATTGCTGTTGGAGGCTTCAAAGCCTATTCCATTGGCTGCGCGAAGAGAAGAAGTGGGTTATAGAAGCCACAGAAGAAGTAGCTATAAGACGCGGCTCCGACACGAACTAGCTGAGAGAGGGGGTTGTCTCGAAGCTGGAGCGAGCCACAGAAGAAGTAGCTGAGTTTCATTGTTCCACTGATTCATTGATTGATTCATTCATTCATTGCTTCATTCCTTCATTCATGCATGCGTGCATGCACTGATGCATTGGTTTATTGACTTTTTGATTCATTGATTCGCTGATTCCTTGGTTCATTATGATTCAGTGGTGCATTGATTCATTGATTATCGGTTCACTGCTTAATAAGTGTTTCATGGGTCCATTGTTTCATCGATTCGTTGGTTCACTGAGTCATGTATTCCTTGATTGGTTCATTGATTCGTTTGTTCATTCGTTCATTCATTCATTTTTATTTGATTCGTTTTTCATTCATTCATTCATTCGTTCTTGTTATGTACCTTTTCTTTGGCAGCTCAACAACCATTTGCCCAGTCATTGCACCTCCACAACCTCAAACTGTCATTGCGTCAGAATTTTTCATGTGTTCTTGCAGGCCTTTGATTGATTATAGCTAACCATTTTTTTTTGAAATTTCCGCCCCGGCACGGCTGGGCACTATACTGGTGTTTGTTCGGTTTCATTGCATTTTACTGTACTACATGATGTTAGTACTTGTAACCGTTTTTCTCAAGACTTGGATTTGGAAGCTGGCTAGCCTTGCAATAGCTGCTGGTCCAATGGTTGGGGCCTTGTTTTTTGCTGCTTAACCCTGAGGGGCACATGGTTGAACTACTTTGGAGGGTTGCTTGGGGGAGTCGAATTGAAGATGCTAAATTTCAGTGCCGCCTTGCCATACTTGTGGACATGAATTCGTCAAGTAGCTAGACAATGCTAGATATGCAAAGTTTGGCATTCAATATATTGTTAACACATGGTTTTTAATTGTCATTGAGAGACACGGTTCCCTAAAAACGTTTGGCAAAAAACAAAGTTATTTACGCCTCTTTGAAACCTGATGCGGCCAAGCCTATTCCGTGGCAGCGTGCAGTCTCAATAGAAAGGGTCGCCGCAACTTCTGTTGCCAAGTGAAGTTCAGCAGGCTCAAAACATGAAGGGGAATAAATGGATATATGGTATTGAATGGTATTGTCTATGAATTCAGTATTGCAAGTCCAACGGGCACAAGTAGAAATTTCATAGAATTTCAAGGTTCTACATTGATGTATTCACCTTGTGAGACCGAGAGCTCTTGGGGCAGAAGATGAAGCAAAACCGCATGCCATGCGAGCACATCGAGCAATATCAACCAGTATCGGGTTTCATTTCACTACTTTGATTCTGCTTTTGCACCATGTCAATCCCTGATGGACATGGCCAAACTGCTGTGGTCGATGTGTCAGAAGGACTTCACTTTGAGATACTTTGAACATTCTTGAACCAATCCATTAGGCTGTGCTGAAATCATTGGCCTTGACACAGTTCAGCGCATTCAGATATCCAAGATGTGTCGTTGTGTTGAGGTTTTCTGGTTGCTACCATGTTTGCTTTCTCACTCTGTGACTGCAACTCTCAACAAATCAGCCAGTCAGAAGGGATAAGTCGCAACTGATGCAAAGCAAACATAACAAGCTTGATTGATTGGCTGCCGAGTTAAAATGAGGTGTTTCCAGAACATCACAGGCAATGTTCCTACTTGCACAGTGAAAAGGAAGGGGAAGTGGTTTCTCAGTTACAACATTTGGATAGTTTATTTCAACCTTCGTTCTTTTCAAATTGTGTTCTATTTGTAGAGAACGAGCTGAACAGGTTGGATCATGTTCAATCGGTACACCGGAATCCTTCTTCCATGCTTGTCATGCTCCGTTGAATGCTCTGTGTTTTGAGGATTCTGGCTTTCAAGCTCTGACTTTATTTGGAGCAATGGGATCAGCGAGTTTGACGTAGACGCCTTGGGTGCAATCGGTTTCTCAGCATGCAGCCTTGCTAGAACTTGCGCCATTCAAGTTTTGCTGCATCTCCAGCTTGCTGAACAAGCAGCTAGAACAATGACTGCTTGATATTGCAAGGCGCAGTTTAGCAAAGCCATTTCAAACCTGCAATCGAGTCTACACAGTTACTGCTTCATGCTGCATGGTTAAAAAGGAACAGCTGGGAAGTCCTGCAAAACCTCCTCAGAGCTGTCACATGTGATTGACCATTCAAGACACTTTAATCTGTAGAAAATTGAAGTAACAGATCTGTAACAGTGACAGCTCTGACAGCTTTTGATCTTCTCATTCTTCTCTTTGGCTCGAGGCTTCCCGCGTGACTGGCCCAGCGCCTACTCAAAGAGTGTTCCACTGAAGTCGCTCATCGGGAAGCGCGGCCTTCTTCCCGCGAGACGGGCGGCTCCGCTCTGAATACCTCAGCCATCCTCAGCCTTTTTGCATACTGCAACGCGTTCAACACGCATGTGCGGAAGAATCATACATTATCAAACATGAACTGGATCATAAATGTCACATAATAAATCATAATAATACATTGTTCTGAAGAATTTACTTAGCTATGTATGAGTATATGATGTGCACATGTTACTTACATGTATATATAATATACGTATTTTTACATATATTAAGCAGGCAAAAAACTAACAAACATACAGACAGACAGACATATGTCATATGTCATATGTCATATGTGCCATGGTCAAATCATAAGTTGTTTTTCAACATGAATAGGGAGTTATACACGCCCAACATGGGATGGATGACCATGACAGGTGTACTATGTTTTGACCATGGCACATATGTTCACTTTGTTATGGAAGGTACACTCCACAAGATGCCATAACAAGAGCAACTGCAGTCTTTTCTGAAGAAATTGCCTCGTATTGATGCGAGACTTTCCTGTCAAGTTTGGTTTGTTTCTCGTTCTCACTGCTGAGGTGGCTGTGGTGGGCTTACCAACCGCTGATCAATTGTCCAAACTGCCAGATATGTGCAAAAGTTCCACGTGCGTTCCTTTGCATCCGGCCATGAATTGAGAGATGGCCACTGTTCAATGTAGACAAATTGAGCGGGGCAGCACAGAACATTTGGATCCGAACTTTTGCACTTGATTTCTAGGATTGGTTGAACTGTTTGAACTGTATTGAACTGTTTGAACTGTGAATTCATCGAAGGTTCGTTAACGACGGACGGTAGCCCATGCCAGCCATTAGGCACAGCTTCCACAATGCCGAGCGAATCTCTAAAATGGCTGGGCTGGAAATCGTTCGCGGCTGGGCCATCTACGAAAGGTGACCTGGTTGAACAGGTCCAATAGGTCCATGGTTTGCTGATGATTGCTGGTTTTTGTAGCAAGGACTGCTGAGTCGTATGAAGTCATATCACATTTGTAAGAGTTCAGAAATGTTCTATAATGTTCTGAAGGATCAGGAAACCTCTTTCAGCAAAGTGATCTAACAAATGTATACAAATGTTCAGTTGATGTTTGACACATTGTACTGTCTTGTGCCTGCCACTCAGGCTGGATCAGCCAGTCGGGTCTGTTTTTGTGGCAGAAAGATACTGGTGGAATTCGCTCCCCGGAAGCAGCAGTACCAACAGTACCTGGATTGACTTGTCTCCCCGGCCAACCTTTTGGCCCCAGCTCCTTCTCATCGAGGAGGTTGAGCCAAAAATCAAAGAGCGGACCCTCGGATTCTTTTCAAAGAAATATTCAAACATCTCCAAAACACTTCTTGAATTCGCTCTTGGAACAGTTTGGGGTCAGGAAACGGACGCATACTAGCATGCTGAATTTTAATGATTTTTGCCTGATTTGGAAATAGACGCTTTATGTGTTAAGATGTTGTTGTGGTATCACTATTATCACTAGAGATTGGACAGGACAGGGCTAAGACTTCCAGAGTCAGTAAGGTAATGATTGAGAGGTTGGGGAACATGATAGAACGAGTGGTTTGTTGATGAAGCGAATGAATCGGCAAAATCCTTCCAAACGCTGTGTGGCGGACAGCAGACCAAACCCTTAGCAATCCAGTCACATCCTGACCTCTTCCTGGAAAACATACATGCTACCAGCACAAGGACTGTATTTGAACAACCAAGCATGTGGCTGAACAAGCTGAAGATTGTTTCTTTGAAATAGATAGCACCCGCTGCGCTTTGTCAAATGTTTTGTCATGTGTTCCAATCCACTTACTGTTTGTTGTCACACTTTGAGAATCTTTGAGACACTTCGAGTTGTATTGTTAGATGAATTCTTGACAGGAAGATCCTGCCAAAGAAAGATGCGCAGTTGATGTCTCGTCTCATTGCCCAAAGATTTCCAGAATACAAAGCTCGTCTGCCAGAGCTGCCAGCCCTGGATACAAAGATTTCCGGGCCCGCGAACAAAGTCAGTGTCACCGTGGAGAACGAGCCTGGCACCCAAGAAATTCAAACAGCCAAGAAGCAGTCTGGATATGTGGCTGGCAATGAGCGGAATGGAAAGACTAAGACGAGTCAGACGAGCTTGGATTATTCGAAGTTTGACCACATTGAAGATTCAGACGACGCAGCTTGGAAGCTGCGCAAGTTATAGAAACCAATAGGGCATTGTCCAAAAAGCATCAAAATGCATCATTCGTGTCAAGGCAGTCCCGGGGTTATTGGCAGGATCATGTTCACATGGTGCCAGGGCAGCTTTCAGCTGAAGCATACTTCAAGTGAGACATCACAGTTTGCCGCCTGCAAGCTTCAAGCCAGGAAAAGATTGTCCTGAAGCAAGCTGTGACGTTGCCTATGGGTTTGCCACGAGAAGCTGTCTCCAGATGCTTGTTTCAAACAAAAACATGTTTTAAAAAAATATTGCAACATATATGAAAATATCAGAAAGCAACTCTGTTTTTTTACTAGGTGCTTTTCAATTTTACAACCTTTGCGTGTGTATACAACGAGCGTGCAGCTATTGCACCTATTGGATCCTATTGGTATGGGTCTTATGTGTTTGAAATACAATTTGTGGTTCGCTGCGGACATCCACGCTTGCCAGCTTAACCTTCCAATTGGCATGATGGATTTTACACGCCCACTGCCTTGTGGAGAACATTCAATGTGTTGACGGAAAGGCCAGACATCAGGAAAGCCAACAGATGCTATGCGGAGTTTGTTATTGCTTTTGCTGGACAGAGGCATTTGGGGCCACGTCAGGTTTGCTCACAGGAACCCTCTTCACAAACCTCTTTCCATTTCTTATTCTCGTTCTTCTTTGGATATCTTTGGATCGTGTGCCTCCCGACTGTTCCTTTGTTTCTTTTCTCGTTCTACACTTTGCCATTTTCCTTTAATCCACCAAGCAGCATTAGAGAGTCTTCTCATCGTGCAAGTGGGAGGCATTGGGTTTTCGCTTGTTTCCAGTGATCTTTTGATATTCGTCCGCACTACCTAATTAAATGGTTTCACAACATGGAACCCCCATAGTGCGTTTTGTTGTTGCGTGTCTTCACCATGTTTGGTTAGTTCCATCATTCGCATGTGCCTTGCATTTTGCTGGTGTTGTTCATTCTTTTCAGAAATAGTTTGGTTCCTGACTCTTCCTCAGTCATAAAGTGTTTCTCTACAAATGACTTCACATGTTGTGTTTTGCCTTTCATGTTTTGCTGACTTCCCCAGCTGTCCATACCCCTTTGCTTTCCTATAATCCCCTAGGCCTCAAGTGAGAACGTCTAGAAGTTGTCCAAGCAAGAAGGTTCTATTCTCTCAGGATTGCCCTGAACTGCCATACCTGTTGGAACAACCACAGTGGTGCAGTGCAAAGTGTGCGATCAAAAGATGAAAGAAGTGTATGGAATGAAGCTGCATATACAGTCATATGCAACACTTGCTCTTGATTCAGCACCTGAAATGACATCCGTATGAGTGGCGAGGTTTACCCACAATCGCAGCATGTTTGATGGGTTTGCATGGTCTTGAAGACAAAGCGTTCTTAATATGCCTTGAAACCAAGTCAGCAAGGCTCCTTACCTACTCAAGGTAACCCTTGTGCGATTAATTTCAACTTTCCCAGTTCCATGCTTCCGAATAGCAGTGCGTGTTGCGTCTCGGTCTCTGGGTCTGGGAGTGGTGCCCCGTTTTTGTCGGCCCTGAAAATTAGAACGGAACCCTGCACTCTGGAACCTGCTGTTGGGTTACAAAGCTGGGTTGATTTATGTTAATTTACTTGTTGTTCTTCTGGCGATCATTGCCTGTTTGATTTGTTTACGTCTATGCACGTTTTTGGCTTGCGGTATTTCTACGTTGACTTGAATAAGACCCTTCATCAGTAGATTGCCGCAACAAAACACGGCCAAAGACGGACTTTCATAATCTTTTATACATTATAATATAATATATATATATACATACGTAAATTCTTTTGGTGAGTTTCGAACGTTCAGACCTTGTTTGCATGATGTTTGCATTCATGTGGATCTACATGGATCTATCAAACCACTGTTCGGGGATTGGCGCATTACACTAGCAAAGATGATCACATGTTGACTTGGACCAAAGCTCAATTTCTCTAGCACATGTAGAGAATACATGGGGCCAACAGTAACAGAACATAAACATCATCCAGGAGTGGATCTCAAAATCGGATGCCAAACAATTTCGAACTGCTCCGAAACAGTCCACCTTAAATTGCAGTGTTTTGCAGTTACCCTTGGATGCTCAAGCTAAATTGGGCCTTTTCACTTTGTCCCAAACAGCGCAAATGTGCGATGTAATTTGTGCCTTTGACATCTTTGAACTTCTCGAAGCATTGCTTTCGCTGGCAAGGACAAGAGTATGACAACGTATGGCGAGCCTTGTTGCAAGACAAGCAACTGCCCTTCACACCTGCGCCAGACTTGGATGAGATGTGGGGATACTACAAGTTCGGTGGTATGGACGAGCAAGCTTTGCTTGATCAAGCGTGCGAAGTTCTGGGAAAATTTCCTTGTCGATTAGATCCAAAGGAATGGAAAGGCAAAACATACAGTCACTTGATGTCACTTGCGAAGCAAAGATCGAGGTATTGGCTTGAATCAAGCAGGATTAGATGTTTTTTCTCATACATACTTGGGGTGTAACATGTTCGCACCATTCCTTATCAATTCCTTTAGGAAAGCAACCAGAAACATTCCTTCAGATTATTATCCAGAAATATTTGGGAGACATGTGTGGATAAGCGTCCTCATGGTGTTTAACACCCTTGGATATATATTTTTAAGATTGTGGGACATTACTGTGCGCACGCGTCCTGTTTGGGATTTGGAAAATTTGGGAATAGAAAAGTGCACTGCCAGGGATCTAAAAATATCACTTCTACACATTGCGTCCCATGGTGTTTTAGACCTGATTGCATTGACATTGTTTAGCTTCCTGAATGCACGGCGTCCCATGCAGTTTTCACCTTGGTTCCACATATGCACTGACTTTCACGTCCCAGAGTACAGCTTCGTGTTGAGTGTCAGTACAACGCCTGCTTTTTGGTTGAGAATGTCATACCAAGACCATCTAAGAGCTGATGGCGGACAGGTTGCATTTCAACAAGGGCCAGGGTAGTCCTCCAGCATCAAATCGTGTCGCATTTGAATATTTCTCGCACAACTCAAAGGTTTTCTGGGTAACTTTATAACATGTTATAACCTTTTGACCGAAGGAGCTAAGTCAAGCAGCCCATCTGGCCCACCTGCAAGTCTCAACCTGATGTATTGTGTGACAGAGGTCATGTTTATGCAGCTGATGGCAGCTGTCTTCATTTTGATTCTATTTGAAAATTTTGAAATCTGTTTGAAGTCTATTTGATTCTGATTGCTTCCGCATCCTCTACCGACATTACACATGAAGAGCCGCCTGCAGATGTTTTAGGAACAGGGTGCAGGGTGCTGCTCCTTGCCAGTGCTACAGTGTGGCTCAGATAACCGTGCAAGGTGCCGTTTTAGGTCTATGCGAACGCAAGCTATCAAAGAAGCTAAGACATCCTCAGATGCTCAGAGGAGGATAGTAGAAAATGATCGGGTAATTAATTTACCGGAATTTCATGTGTCCAATAAATATATATATATGTGTGTGTAATGTATGTAATGTATGTATGTGTGTAGGTATGGTCTGTAATGTATGTATGGTATGGTATGGTATGGTATGGTATGTAGGTATGTATGGTATGTTATGGTATGTAGGTATGTATGTAGGTATGTAGGTATATAGGCAGGTAGGTAGATAGGTAAGCACGTACGTAGGTATGTCTTTCTGCCTGTCTGTCTGTCTGCCTGTATGTGTGTATGCGATTATGCGTGTATGCGATTATGCGTGTGTGTGTGTGTGACTTATTGTGATTTTATATATGTATATGTATACGTAGTGTTTTCCTATTGTATGCTATGTACGTATGCATGTCCTTCGTGTTGATTTTTTTGCTTTGCCTTGGCCTTCCCCTCCCTAGGCCTCACAAGGAAGTTGGAGATGGAGAGTCGAGAAGATGAAGCCAGGATGTGGTCGATTCTTGCCATTCTCCGCTTCCCAGATGCCGATGCTTTTTACAACCAGGGTGTGCTATTGAACAAGATGTGCTGTGCTTGCATTCAGATCCATTGAGCATCGCTCATCATGGCTCCACATGTTCATGTGTTGAAGGGTTCTGATGATGTGCGGATGATTCCCTCTTGGTAAATTCCTGAAACTTTTGAACTGAGGTGCGACAAGGTCAAATTTGGTGGTGCCTCCACTGTGAAGCTTCCGGCTTTGGAAACATCCCAAGCTAAGATACTTGGATGTCGTGGATGTCGTGGATGTCGTGACTTTAATGACTTGGCCCGGCTTTGACACGTATCGTGGTATATATCGTGGTCAAGATGCTGCACAGCAGAGAAAGTCTGTCTCTGCTTGGACAAATTTGCACAAGGCTTGTGAAACAATGCGGACTTTATCGCCCACGCTGTAAGAGTGAGCTTCCAAAAAGAAAAACTATGAGTCCTCATCGACTCATCGACTTTGCTGGTTTTGCTCTGTTTTGGTTGACAAATCTGCCAAATCTGTCCAAGCTTTGGGCATGGGCTAAGGATGGTTTCTACCGAGCAGTACTGTTCGCTCTTTTCTCGCGCAGCAATCAGCTACTATCGACGCTCTCTAAAGGTCGACCCCAAACAGCGACCGGCGTACATCAATTTGATCGGCAGCCTGGAACGGAATGAGTTTCTCGGATGTCGGATACAACATCACCTTGATCGTACCTCTTTCTTCTTTCCAGCTCCGACAGAAGGTGCAAAGAGGTGTCGAAGTTTAGATCGATATGGAATGATTTAGCTGAAAGATAATGAAAGATAGCGAAGAGACACAAAAGTTCCAGTGTTCAATAGGCAACACTAGACTAGATTAGACGCAACCTCAAAGTTTAGGTGTTTATGTGAGTGTGTGGGCGCGTGAGTACAGTGAGTAGGCTCCTTTGGGCTGGTTGCAGCTTGTTTTTCTCGCGCCTGAGACCTCCAAATTGGTATGACGATGTTCATGAACTTGCAATCGCAGCAGCGACCCGGCAGATCGCACAGACTCAAAGGTAAACGCGGCCTGATCGACTCAACTGAGCTCATAGTTGAGCATCGGTTGAGCATGTTGAGCTGATATGAGTCATCACACTGTTTCGAGTTATGTGCCATTCGAGATTCCGATTGTACAACTGCATGAATTGCAAGGTCAAAAATGGCATTTGGTACACAAAGTGGCAGCGTCCGCCGCATTTTGTCCCGACATTGCCTGCGAAGCTTTGCTGAAGATATGACCAAAGATACAAAGATATCATTTAGAATCTAGAAGAAATGATTCTTGTTTATTTGTTCTCCTGTAAAACTATGTGTTGCTTGTACTGTTTGATTTGTGTGGCTGGAAATTGAAGTAAGCGCGTTTTTTGCCATCAAAGGAAACCTTTCCACAATTCGCAAGACTTTCCTTTGTCGCGAGCACCTTGGCAAGACTAAGAGAAAATCAGAATCAGATGTTCTCAGTTCATCTGACATATTGACCTCGATATGGCAGACTTTCAAAAAACATTTGAAGAAGAATGTGCTGTCCAGGCGTGTTGGAGATTCATCGCAAACCTGCGGCTGTCTCACTGACAGTCCGTAAAAGAGCAGTGGGCATTTGAACTCCACCTTGCAAGATTCAAGTCACGAGAACGTTTCAATGCCGAAATGCAGCTTGAAGCTTATTTATTTGTACGTGGATATTTATAGTTGGCTTGGCTGGTGTACATAATCTAATTGCTGGTACCTCATGTTTGCAAGTTATCATTTTCCCCTTGGACAGGAGACCTATATAAATCATTCTTCAAGCAAAGGGTACCAGGTTTCAAATGGTGTGCGCATGTGTGCGCCTTGTAAAGAAGCACCAAGACCAAGAAGCACCAAGCATTCTGATCTTTGAAAGTGAGGCTTTGGAAGAAAACTTCTCTGTGATAAAAGCTGAGTACGAAGCCTACAGACAGAAGCTCGCAAATCGGAAAGACTGGGATGATTCGGACACCACACCTGGATTAGGACCCGCAAGCGTCAATTATATAGTACAGTACATGGATTGAGGAAGAACAATCAAGAACATGTGCTGAATAGGTAAGCTTCTTGACCGTTTGCATCTCCAAGGATACAGTTTCATTCCTCAAAATGTGGCAGGTTTGGTTTGGGATGGTTTGTGTACTTATTACAAATGAAGCATAGCATAGCATGAGTGAGCACGAATAAGTAAGCCTTAGCACGCCTTAGCGACTTTTACTTCCTCATCTCAGAAACTCCAGGAGATGTTGGAAATCGACCAGGAGCATTGCACGATGGTGGTCTTCGCAAGTCAGGAAAGTGGCAAGAAGTGCCCCTCTTTACCAATTGCACGATCCAGAGAGAATATACAGACCCTCGTCAGCTGTCTTCCTTGGAATCTCCTTGGAATCTCCATCTTGTCTGTCTGATTCTGTCTGTCCTGTTGATTTCTGGTGTTGGACACGGGTTGATCCAGCACGCTTCGCTTCTCAATCCTCCCACATTTGATTGGATCCGCTTGAACTAGGTCCAAGGGCCCTCAATTAATTAATGGAGATTTGCATCGGAAAACTGTGGCGGGAGGCTCTAGGTTCAGCAAATACCTATTCGCATCTATTTGGGGGTTCTGTGGCTGGCCTTTTCAGGGTGCACAATGCTGCGAGATCTCAAGAATTGAACCCCAGGCCGAAAAGACGATGCTTGACAAAGATGTACTGATTCACTGAAAGGTTGCAAGTGTTCATCCTGCAAGCTATCGCGTGTTGTTGCATTTTTTACTTCGCACCCATGGCAGTCAGGCAAGGTTCTATGATGTTCTATGTATGTTTTTTCCCTCGGGTGTGTTTGCAATCGCCCTAGAACACTGCGAAAGGTTCCCCAGACTCCTGCAGGATTGTAAATACAGGAAATGAATCCGTACGCCGCTCTAAATTTGCGAGTGGGCAGACTGGAGACAGATGCATTTTGAAGGTTTGTACCTTACTTGTGTACGAGAATCTTGAGAAGCAGGCAACATGAAGCTTTTCTCAGGTCGCTTTGATTGCAGTGACTACATTCCTCCATACTTTGGCTGTCTTTGATGTCGTAGTAAGAAAGCCAAGTGGATTGCCCAAGTGGATTGCCCTTGTTTCTTGAGCCTTCTGTAGTTGGATTGGCGCCGATGCCGCTCGTCCAGAGCTGCTTTCATCCAAAGCAATCGGCATGAAAGCTTTGTTTCAGACAGTGATGAAAGGTTCAGTTGAGATGCGTGAAGAAAGGAATCAGAGGCATTCAGCAGCAAGTTTTGTCTTTTTTAACATGTGGGGTCCAGGGTCTCATTTTTTGTTTGCCATGGCTCAAATTGGTTTGATCTCAAAGTTCACTACCATTTTACAGCCTGACATTTTTGATTCTTAAGTGATTGCAGGAAAGCTTACTAGATGTTGCACTAATTATATAATAGAAACTGGATACAGTATTACAGATTCTCAGAATAAGTTTGAGAACAAAAATCAAGTCCTTTCGCGATTTGCAAAGATGGCGAGTTCTTCTAAGGTGATCTAGTGGTCAGCCAGCACTTAGACAGCAAGGGAAAGCGCCCGTCTTTACTACAAGTTCTTTTAAGACCTTATAAGTTCTTAAGAGGTTAGTTCTTAACCATTAGATACTCTAAATCCCACACTGGCCCTTCCCCCCGCACAGATTTCCCTTTGATTTAATATTTGTTTGCTGGTTGCTGGCTTCGCCTAGCAGAGTCAGAAATAGCAGTTCCGGCTACGCTGGGATCCTCCCCGAAAACGACACCATGCACGTAGCCGAGCAATCTAATCATAACATATCATAACCATAAACACGTAAACCTGGGAAAAGGATGGAAAAGGTACACTAACACTAACGGCCAAAATTTCAGGGTTCCCTAGGGTAGCCGGTAGACAGGGTTGATTCCAGCAATCCAGGCCGCGGGTTCGTAAACAGCGGTTTCCTGTACACTGGTTTACACGGTAAGTAAGATACCTTGATTCTGCCCAGGACTTGTTTCCAGAGACCACCCGCATTCTTCAGACACAGTGTTCTGATGCAACGGGCTTGGCTTTTTGTGGTGGTGGCGACGTTATTTTTAGCGTGCTCACACCTGGTACCCGATTACGACCACATTGTGGGCCAAGCAATGCGAGACTGACTTGTCATCTGGCAATCAGGGCATCTGGGCAATCAAATTGGTCATGTTTAGATTTAGATGCCTTGCTTTGTTCCTGACTTGCATTTGAGCTTGAAGTCTTCACATTTGGAGACTACTACTAGGTGTAGTCAGTGTCATGCTTCGTTGCAATAGTTGCGCCTTGCTGGGTCAGGACAACCCCTCATATATATATATATATATATAGTGATCCTTAAGTAGATAGAATATGTTTTTGGAGGGTGCGGGATTTATGTTGGAATTATGTTGGATGTCGGCCACTTAAAAAAAAACAGGTAGTTGGAATATTTCGACCCCCCCGGGGAGGTCGAAAACTGGTAGTTGGAATATGGTTTGGAGGGGTAGGTAGGTGGAATACGGTGGAATATCCTGTGGAAAAACAGTCTCAAGCTGCTGTGGGGTCTGCGCGTGGTGTTCACAATTCCCTCAAAATATTCTATCTACCTGGTTTGAAACAATATTCTATCTATTTTTTGGTGTTGTTTGATTTTTGTATTTTTCAAAATTTCCCCAGACCCGTGTCCAAAACTGGCTAAAAATGACTTAACAAAGACGAAAAACGTGTAAAAACTGAGGTTTTGAAAATATTCCAACTATTTATGTTTTTTTGAAAAATTCCTTTTTGAAAATTTCCGATATTCTATCTACTTCAGGATGACTACATATATATATATATAGTTTGTGGGGGCCAGTCAATTTGACACACTTTACCGGTATGCTCAAACACCAATGACATATTGAGTACAATACGACATAATAGCATATAATAGCATTTTTTGGGTTGGCACATCTGAAGGTACCAAGGAGCTGCGAGCAAGGCTGCTACATCCGCGTGGGATCTGAAAGCAGAAGAGCATGGGAGGAGGGAAAATGTTTGGTTTTTGATGATTCCTTTGAGCATGAAGCCACTCAGCTTGAGTTTTTTTCTTGCGATGTGAGACTGCTGGTTTTTAGCATGATTTAAAATTCGCAAGCTTGGTTGCAACAGCTCATGATGAATTCAATGTCGACCAGTCATGGGGTGTTGCTCAGCATGGTTTTCACATGTAAGATTTCAGGCTGATGACACACTGATGCAACACATGATGCACTTTTGGCGCACTTTTCACTTCATGCACCTGTTGCTAATGCTGTTCTTTTAGTATTTCTTATGTTGCTTGACATGCAGGTTACCATTGATTTTGTGGCCAGCGTCAATGAATCTCATCAACAATCATTCCCTTTGTTTCACCCCGATTCAGTTACCCCCAAATCACCAGTCGACTTGAAAAAACTTATTTCTGAACGTGTTCTCTCAATTGCTTACCAATTGAATCTCTCATTTAACACGTTCCACGCTGGCCCATTTGTTAATTCGCACGCACCGGTTTCGGTTGCTCAATACTTGAGGTATTCTTCAGTGAGCCCAGATCTGATGAAGCATATCCTGGCGACAGAGTGGTGCTTTTGGCAAATTTTTGGCATCCAAATTTTGGTGCCTCGGAAAAGTGAAGCAAAGTGAAGCAATGTACGGCAACGTTCTATATATATATATATGCTTATCAGGTTATATTTGTATGCTGCACTCACAACCCAATGATCCCTGTTTCTCCTGCAAGCATTCACTGCACATTGTTGATTCACTGTAGATAGTCTTGTGGATCAAGCCTCAGGCCTTGCTCTCGTTTGGAGACATCAAACTCTGTTGAAAGTTGTTATTTGTTTGCGTTCACAGATTCCTTCAGGGAAAGATACAAGATAAGATACTATGACGATCAGGTAAGATTCGGGGTGTTATTTTTGTCATGAGTTGTCGAGCCGCTGACGATCCCCGCAGCCAACATTAGCAATTGTCACTGCCCTCACTGTCGCTGAGGATTTAAAAACGATCCGGACTGGAGACAAAAATCTGATGAAATGATGGCGACGGTGGATGTAGAGACACTACCACAGACCGCCTTAATGAAGTCTGGATGAGGTCTGAGCGTTAGACCAGCTTATCTATGGCTTATTGCGTTTTCCCCAGTGCAAGCTTCTGATTGAAGCCCAGATGCTATTCGTGTCTAATAAATATTTGGTTCGGCCTCAAGACATTTGTTTTCATGGCCTGCAGTGAAGGCCTTGCTTGACACACATATACAGATGCATATATATATACATGCACATATATATATATATATGTATATACAGAGAGAAAGAGAGAGAGAGAGAGAGAGAATTATATAGATGTAGATAGACAGAGACGGATCAAGATTGATAAACATAGATCGAGTAGGTCGATACAGATAGAGATAGATAGAGATAGATACAAAAATAGAGATAGATATGAATATACATAGTAGGTAATAGGTAGGTGGGTAAATATCCAGGTAGATAGATAGATCCTGGCTGCTGGCTTTGAAGCTTTGCATGGGGGCTCAATTGGAGCCAAAACAGATGACAGCGATGCTGGGTCATGTTTGCAATCTTGGCGTTGCAAAAATAGAGCTCAATTATGCTTCAGCGTTTAGAATTTGCCTGGCTTCGAATGCCTCCTTTACAATACAGAAGGGCTGGTCAAGAGATGTCAAGAGATGTCAAGAGAAGAGATGTCAAGAGATGTCAAGAGATGTCAAGAGATGTCAGGAGATGTCAAGAGATGTCAGGAGATGTCAAGAGATGTCAAGAGATGTCAAGAGATGTCAGGACATGTCAGGAGATGTCAGGAGATGTCAGGAGATGTCAAGAGATGTCAAGAGATGTCAGGAGATGTCAGGAGATGTCAGGAGATGTCAGGAGATGTCAAGAGATGTCAGGAGATGTCAGGAGATGTCAGGAGATGTCAGGAGATGTCAGGAGATGTCAGGAGATGTCAAGAGATGTCAGGAGATGTCAGGAGATGTCAGGAGATGTCAAGAGATGTCAAGAGATGTCAAGAGATTTCAAGAGATGTCAGGAGATGTCAGGAGATGTCAGGAGATGTCAGGAGATGTCAGGAGATGTCAAGAGATGTCAAGAGATGTCAAGAGATGTGAAGAGATGTCCAGAGATGTCAGGAGATTTCAAGAGATGTCAAGAGATGTCAAGAGATGTCAGGAGATGTCAGGAGATGTCAAGAGATGTCAGGAGATGTCCAGAGATGTCAGGAGATTTCACGAGATGTCAAGAGATGTCAAGAGATGTCAAGAGATGGCAAGAGATGTCAGGAGATGTCAGGAGATGTCCAGAGATGTCAGGAGATTTCAAGAGATGTCAAGAGATGTCAAGAGATGTCAAGAGATGTCAGGAGATGTCAGGAGATGTCAGGAGATTTCAAGAGATGTCAAGAGATGTCAAGAAATGTCAAGAGATGTCAGGAGATGTCAGGAGATGTCAGGAGATGTCAGGAGATGTCAAGAGATGTCAAGAGATGTGAAGAGATGTCAAGAGATGTCAGATGTCAGGCGATGTCAGGAGATGTCAAGAGATGTCAAGAGATGTCAGGAGATGTCAGGAGATGTCAGGAGATGTCAAGAGATGTCAAGAGATGTCAAGAGATGTGAAGAGATGTCAAGAGATGTCAAGAGATGTCAGATGTCAGATGTCAGGCGATGTCAGGAGATGTCAAGAGATGTCAAGAGATGTCAAGAGATGTCAGGAGATGTCAGGAGATGTCAGGAGATGTCAAGAGATGTCAGGAGATGTCAAGAGTGTAAGAGAAGTGCAAGTTGCTGCAAGAAAGTTGAGATTGACTCAGGAGGTCATCTAGTTGCACTTGGCTCAGGACATGGAGAGAGGCAGAGCCTCATACCAAGATGTGTCAAGGAAGCATTCTAAGATTCTAAGATATTCTAAATTGATTCTAAATATGTCTAAATTCTATTTAGGGATGTTGTTACGCTTTGTTCGGTCCGGATGACACCCAAGAAAGACAAAATCTGAAGCAGACATGTTCTAGGCGAATAGCTTGCCAGGATCCGTGAGACGCAGAGTCTTGCTTCAAGCCATTCCTGCCTTCATCAGAGACAAAACAGATAGATTAGTAAATATGGAAGGGCGCCATTCCATGTACAAGTAATGACGAAGTACAGGCACGTGGAACCATGCACGGATGCATTAAGATGAACATGATATGATGGCATGTACTTGCAAGTAGAAGAATACTTTGAAGTTTGCTATGTACAACATCATCAACATCCGAACAAGGAAATCCCAATCTAGCCTGCAAAACAAAGATGCTGCTTGCAATGGCTTTTGAATGTCAACCCGGCACACTGGATTCGAATGAGGACGTCCACTTCAGCGGTAATGCTCTCGGTGTGTGGCATGATAACATCTCTTGCACAGAAGGAAATTGAAGCCTGCTCCAGGCAAGTATCGGGTGAAAATTGCTGATATTCTACTAATGGAGGCCTGGTCAGGCATGGCGTTTGTCAAAAGATCGGGCCGCAGAACCACAGCATGCTGGCCTGCTTGAGACTTTTGAACTTGTCAGATCCAGCTTGCCGGAGCGGCCTTTTGCACGCAGCCAGCAGAGCGTGCTGTGAATCTTATTGCTCTTCCTGTAGTGTTCTCCCAGCACTTAATCTGGATCCGGCTTGCTCAGTGGAGCATATTCTGCGATTATCTCCTCCTTGCTCTCAGTCTAGTCCCCCTTGCGTTCTTGTGCATCACTTCGTGGGTCAGATAGTTGAGAAGAATACAAGCGACAGACAAGCTCAACGCGAGGAAGCCAACCCAGAAGCAGCTTCACCAGGTCCAGAGGCTTCAGAGGCTTCTGTAGTGTCAGATTTGCTTCTTCCACTACTTGGTGGCTTCGCTGTATCTGGCTGCAGTCTCACCCTCCTTTGCTCAATGTTGTACTATTGCGCAATACAAAGAGCTCCATAGCCTTCACCATCCCCAACATCGCCAACGACCAAGTCTTGCATTGGAAAAAAGCCAAAGAATTTGAAGCCCAAACGAAAAGGCAGAGCGAAGGCAAAGCCAAAGCAGAAACTTCAGTTGCCCATGAGTTATTTGCCAGATCCTTGGAATGTGGATATGTTTCGTTCTTCTTATTCCCAGTTTTCCTAGTTTTCCGACTACTTGAAGCTAAGTCCACACTGTAGTCAGTGGCCACTGCGCCGCCCATTGGAAGAGATCGTTAAGACACCAGTGGCTTTTGGAGCCTATGGAAACCGGAATCATTTGAAAACCTTGGCAGAGCACATGTGAACGGCAGTCAAATCCTAGTACGGTTCAATGTGGAAATTGCTTATTGAGAGCATTGTCGGCAATTTGTGGCATTGTCGGAGGGCACGTTTGAGTGCTATGTTTACTATGTTTACTATGTACATTCTATGTTGATCTTAATAGTTGCAGGTCTTAAAACATTGAGAGACACGAAAGCCGAGCTTTAGTTCCCATGTATGTTTGCTCGTTTGTAGTGTAAGCAGGACATGCCAAAAGTATCACCGTCCCATATCCAGTATTGAAGCAACATGACATGAAGCAACCAACTTTGAGCGACGGAAAACCGTAGGGGGAAACGTCGCAGCCCAGGATTTGGTGAACTTGCAGGAGGCGTTTGATTCAAACGCTCCGGCAGTCACAGCAGAATTGGACGCGTCGGAATTGGGGAAGACGATATTTGGGTGGCTGGGCATGACTCAGATACCTTTGCAATTTGGGAGTTACAGTTGTTCACGAGATGCTATGTATGTATTGCATTTGTTTGCTCGATTCAGGAGTTTCAACATTCTAAGAAATGTTTGTCTAAGGCAAATGATGCGGTGTATGTGGTGGTAATGGCTTCTGTGTGTACATGCAGTACATAAATTTTCATATCCAATCAATGAATCAATCTATCTATCTAATCTAATCTAATCTAATCTAATCTATATAATCTTAATCTAATCTAATCTATTCTAAATCTAACCTAACCTAATCTAATCTATCGAATCTATCGAATCTACCTATCTATCTATCTATTCTATTCTAATTCTAATTCTATTCTTATTCTATTTTATTCTATTCTATTCTGTTCTGTTCTATTCTATTCTATTCTCTCTATCAATCTAATCAATCAATCTATCTATCTATCTATCTATCTATCTAATCTAAACTTTGCAAAAGCAATTGGGGAATTCTGCAAGTGTGAGGGTAGATAAACAAACGCCTTGAAAGGCTGTAAAAATCAAAGAGATGAAGTCGAATGAAGTCCAGTCAGCCCTGGGTCAATTGCAAAATCAACGGGCGCGACCTTCCAAGATCTGAAAGCAATCAACTTCAACTTCACCTGAGAGCTAGCAGTTGGGGCCCAGAAAGATCAGAAAACGATAAAAAGCAAACAGGTACTTCAGAGCGGGCCATCTCCAATCTTTCATATTTGTATCATCTTGATCATATTGCTAACTTGTGTGTCAAGTAATAAGATTAATTGTTCCTCGTCAAAAATGATTGAAAATTTGTTTGGCCTTCTTTTCCTTTGGGATGACCCCGAACAATCAAGCTGCATGACCAAAGTTATATTGGACCCAACAATCGCTGGTGACACGAGTCCATACAAACCCCCGCAATACACCGCATTTTGTTTCTTTCAAAAGATTCCTTGGAGAAACCCTAAAGCCTAAATAGACATGTGTGTTGATGTTCCTGGAAAGCCTGATCTATTCTCTTATCTTTCTTTGCACTCTTGGGTGTCGCCAGCTGTAGGCCAGCACCAGCGCAGAGGCAGTCCACCACGACTTTGCGAACAGTATGGCAGATGCTTCAGCATCGCCTGAGGCTAGCCAAGGAGACGGAAACAAGTGGCAACCATATATATTATATAATGTGTGTTGTAGTGCGTTCTGGTGTTTTGCAATGCAGCTGAGCTGTTGCTTGGCAAGGCGAATTGTTGCGGCACGGTGGCCTTTTGCATCTGTTTGCCTTCAAGAAAGAAATGCCAAAAGAAGGAGATTTCTAGAGAAAGAACCGTCAACAGAAGGGCAGGTCAAGAAAAAGAGATGCCAAGAAGAAGTGATGTCAAGACAAGGAGACGTCAAGTTAATCTGTGTTGGTGACTGAAAGTACATGGGCCAGAGATCCAATGACTCAACACTCATGTTTTGGAAAAGACCTTGTGATAATTTATGATATATATATATTGTCACGGCACTGAGTGTGTCTGTGTGTGTGTGTGTTTGCTTTGCAGCGTTAGCCGATCTTCTGTACGCAGATTCTCTTTTGCAGTCCTGTAGGAACACATGTTCATATCGTAAGTTTCTGCCGCTCGCCTTGGGCCCTGCTTGCATAGCAACAAGACATATATAACAAGTAAATGCAAATAATATATATATACATATAACAAGCATCATAACTAACAATGCAAGGTTTTTGCCGGCCAGGTGCAGTCGCAAATGGCTGACTACGTCGTCATGGAGGTGAATTCCCGTGCCAGTGGTCCATTTCGCTATTGTTATGGCCAGCTCCGTTGCTTTGGTTCTGGGACGGAAAAGGGGCATGCAAGACATTGACCATATAGAGAGAGAGTGAGAGAGCGCAGAGAGAGAGAGCGGAGAGAACTCAACAGTGCGGAATACGAGAACTTCTCCAAAGGCTGGTCAAACTGAGCGATGCATGTAGAGGTGATTGGCCGAGCACCAGTTGTGGTATTGCATGTGGCGCTGGCAGGACGGCCATCGCCCAAATCAGCGCGTGTTGAGCTTTTGAAAATCAAAACAAAATGCGTTCTCTCACACCCATAGATAATCTTGTTCCATTTCCATGCAATCAAAGCCGGATGACAGAACGAGTTGAATGGCACAATTTTTCCGTTTTTGATACGTACACTTTTTAAGGCTTGACTGTTTGGTGCCATTATTTCAAATTTGGAATAAATATAATTTACAAACCATATGTCGGCAAAGACATCCAAATGAAGGGTATGCAAACAATGGGTAGCATTACGGGGTAGCATTGCTAGCTAGCGGAGACAAACGGGTATGTTTGAAACAGAGCTTGTTTATGCTTTCCTTATTCTTTTTGAATTGAAGTATATACCCGTATTAACATCATTCTGGTACGTCTACCAAAGGCACAACAATTTCTGGAATGCAGGGTTTGCCTCCGCAGTTATGGAATGTTAAAACCATTTAAAACCACATGACACGGGGCCAACGGCATTGTTTGTATTTGTGCTAACTATGTTTGTAGTAAATGTTGAACTCGTCTCCAAAGACATCGATGCTTGGAATTATGTTATTTGAGCACAAAAGGTATCAATTTTAATGTTAAGAATTTGTTTTTTATAGAAGGCATCCGTTGTGGGGGCATTTAATGCCGAGAAGATCTTTATCATAAAAGGGATTTACTTGGGGGCATTGCATTAAGCATGATGTCTATTTTGCGTGCGTAATTTTTGTGTCAATAAAGGATATTACTTTTTAATGTTGTTTTTTTTGATAAAAAATATTTATTTTCGTAACAGGAATCGTATTGATAACCTTTCTCTCTCCATTTACAAGAGACATTTTGATTATGATTACACATGTTTTTTACAAAAAGTATTTTAATTATATATCTTAACTAGATTTTGACTAGTTGTAGGAAATTAGTGGGCATACATCGTTTTCAGTTGAATTTTTATTCTTTATTTTTAAAAGGAGTTGGATTGAACCTTGTGAAATAGACATTGTTGGGTAGGATTTTGATCGAAATATATCGATAGTAGAAAATGCTTTAACGGGGCCTACTCGGCTAAAGCAGCCATACTACCGACCAAATGAAATTTCGTGAAAATAAGTTGGTGTTTAGGATGTTGTATTAACCCTAGAATAATTTAGAATAATTTACAATAATCTCCGTTAGGGATCTCAGAGGCCGCATGAACTATAAGGCAATGCAAGGATTATTTGATTTGGATATATAATATTATTATGGTTTCTTATAATTTATTAGTTTGATTTATAATTTTAGATATTATTATGGATTCGGAGAGGATTAAATTCCTTAAATTAATATTTATTGAAATAAAAATATATTATAATAATTTAAAATTAATTTTAGAAGTCCAGAAATATAAAAATTAGATATATAATTATAATATTAATATTATAAAATTAAATATATTAAAGAATCCCCCCTTTAACCCTGGAATTTTTTTTGGGGGGTAAGGCATGAAATTTCTGAGCAATATTTTACCTGACTACATGAAATATACCCCCCCCACATGTTTTTTTGGGCTTTTAAAAGACGTGGGGGGGGGTGTCCTCCGGATGCCACATTTTAACCCAGAAACGGTATGATACACCATAACACACCCTTTTATTTTGAACATACATACATACCTACCTACCTACATACATACCTACATACATACCTACATACATACATACATACATATATACACACACACATACATACATATATGCATCCATGCATCCATACATACATGCATACATGCATACATCCATCCATCTATCCATAGATACATATATACATACATGGTAATTGCCGGTTTCCAAGAAAGTAAATAAGAGAATGAACTTGCCAAACAGCCTTTAGAACATGACGTTTAACCTTGAATTCAACCACGCCTAGAGACCATTATAGACCAGAATTTTTTAGCTGAAATATTTCACTTTAGGAAGATTAAATATTTCTAGATTTGTGGGGGGAGAGAACCCCCCCTTTAAAGGGGGGAATATTAAAGATATATTTGATTTATATTATAAAATAATTAATTATATTTAATTTTAATTTTTATTTAGAAATATTATATATATTAATTTTGTAAGAAATATATAATATAAAATTAAAATTATTGATATTAGAAAATTATATATATATTATAATTGTAAAATAAATTTCAAATTTATTTAAATTGAAATTTTAAAAATATTATATTAAAAGAATTGGATAGGAAAATTTGATTTATAAATTTAAATATTAATAAAGAAATTTATAATATTATTATATATTGTTTTAATATTAATTTAGAATAATTTTAGATGTTAATTTAGAAATGAAATAATTATTTGATGGTGGGATATTTGAAAAAAAAATATTAATTTGATATATATATATATAAATATTTATTAAAATTATCGGAATTATTAATGATTATTTTTTGTTTTTAATATTATTATGTTTAAATAATATATATAAAATTCGATTTTATTTAAATTAGAATATCGAATAAATAAATATATGTATAAATATAAATGTAAAATTTGATTTTTAAATCTTAATTTTAATAATAAATATATTATATTAAATATATTATTTTATTTAAAATAATTTTATAAATTAATTTTTGAAATAAATTAAATATATTTTGGAAATATGTATATATAATTATTTTTGAAAAAAAATATTAATATATTTATTATATGTATATATTAGTTTTTAATATTTATTAAGTTGTCGATTATTTTTTTTTTAATTAATATTTTTTAAAAAAAATAAAATATTTTAATAATTAATATATAAAATATTG